GGGTTGTTGCAGTCCGACAAGAGAGCGGTGGGAGATGCAGTCTCAGATTCTGGATCCATGTCTCCCTCCACAGTCTCGACCGGGTTGTAGATGACGCGAGACAAAAGATATTCCAGCACCGATCGATGTACAAAGCGGAACTGGTTGCCGGTGCGCGTCAACGGACTGGCCTCACGGAGCAACTTGGCCTCGGGATCATTCCCAAAGAAATCCGTCTTCCAAGAGTACTTGTCCTGTCGATGGTTGTACTGGACGATCGGGTTGCCGTCCTGCTCCTTGAAAATGGCCGCAGCTAGACGAAGCAAATAGCCGATCCCGCATCCAATAAAGTCGTCGTCCATTAGGGAGGTGTACGCTTCCAAGTCCTTCTGGCTCAGCTTGTTGGGTTGGATGCGGAATCGGTTCGTCTCCAACCATTGATCGACAAACATATCGTAAAGACGAACGCGAGTGATGCGAATGCTCGCAAGATCCTTGTTCGACGCGACCAGGCCAGGGAGAGCCTTGAGAGCGAGGGTGAGTAGGAATGGGTTTTTGACGAGATCCATGATATTGGGGATAGCCGTCAACTTGTTCATGTACTCCTCCGAGGACCAGGCAGACTGATTTCTGAATAAAAGCACCGTCTGTGGATCTTGAGCATACTGCTCGACATAGCTCTTGACCTGATCCTTAGAGAAGGGGGTGATGACAGCTTCCTGGAAGACATCCTGAGAACCAGTGGCGTACCGGTCTGTGGGCTGCGGTTTGAACCGATCGACGTAGGTGGGTCCGAGGAACTGGGTGCGACAGCTGATGATCATCTTGGTGTTCCACTGACCTGGCTGATTCAGAGCGTTGCTTCGATGAAGGTTGTCCTGTTGCTGACTCTCGTCGTACCCGTCGCAGATGAGTATGAGTTCGCGGTGCTGCTTCATCTCCTGGATCTGATCGTCGCTGAAATTGTTGGCCCTCAGATGCTTGGCGATCAAATCCTGGTCTGGGCGGTCAATGGCGGGAAGGTTGATGAACAGGGGGATAGGTCCGCCTTGCTCGTAGTCGGTCCAGAGTCGATGTTCGAGATGGCGGTTGAATGTCGACTTGCCAGATCCAGAGTCACCCAGTACCAAAATCACTTGTCGCTCACTCGCTAGGAACTCCAGGACTTTCTCCAGCAGAGGGAAGATATCCTCATCCTTAGCCTTCAGACTAGGTTTCGCCAACGGTGAAATATAGACTGTCTGGTGGTGCTGCTGCAATCGCTGAAGTTGATATTGGCACAAATCGTATTCGAGGGGTGTAATGTTTTGAACGCGGGCGAGGATCGGAGACGATGTAGGTAGAGGAAGGCGGTTCCTCAGTGGGTAAGGAAGTCGGGTGGTGGTGGTATTTTGATCCAGGTGCAGGTCTTTGAGTAAGGCAATGGCGATGGTGTTGACGGTCTGGTCAGGAACGGTACTGAGTTGTCCAATAATGTTAATCATCCAGGTCTTGACGCTCTCATCCTTCCCCCACTGTGAATCGTTCTTGTACAGATCTCCGAGAAGGTCGACGGCTTGCTGGCGGACATTGGTATCCCAAATGACATCGGATGCGATCTCTCCGAGAAGTTGGCAGATACCCCATTGGAACAAGGGGTCACCACGACAAGGTGCCTCGTATATGAGTTGATTAAGGTCCTTCAGCTGGCCAGCTTGGAGGAGAGCCTGAGCAACACGGATGGCTGCGTACCATGGCCGCTTCTTTCCTTTAGAGAATCCTTCCTTGAGACCATCCAGAACTCCACGGCCGCTCTCCATCACAGAGTTCACACCCTTGTAGACATCACTAGTAACTCCCATGATGTCACCAAGTGCTTCTTGAAGGTTGCTTAGACCCTCAAGAACTGCTCCTAGATCAAGCTTGAATACACCAGAAACCTGGATGAGGCCATTGACAACCCCGGTCCCGTGTCGAAGAACTGATTGAAGAGCGCTCTCATCATCAGGGACATACTGCAACGCCTGGAACGCATAGCAAGCTTGGTACATCAGGTACGGATCCGAGCTACCCTTCAGTCCTGACAAGATTCCTGACAATGGCTCATGATCCTCGACACGGTTCAAATCCTTGACCTTGTGCTCTGCCATCACGTCAAGAAGTCGCGACAGTGCCAATGTGAGATGAAAAGGGTGCACCGAGGACTGCTGGTGGGTGTCCTGCAAGCAAATCCTAAGGACTCGGAGGATCTTGACCAAGTCGTCAGAGACCAGGGACCCTGTAGGGGCCACTTGGACTAACTGAACTACGCCTTGCAGGAGATCGACATTCAGAAGAACAGACTGCTCGAATGCGGTGATGGTGCATGACAGCAGGCTGCGGTAAGTCTCCTTGTCCAAGACAGGACCAAGAAGGACAATCTCGGCAATCTCGGTCGAGTCTTTGAGGACATCTTTGGCAAACTCGTCGACCATGCGTGTTCCCAGCCAGTAGATACGTTCCTTCGCAGGCAAGTTCTTGTCCATCTGTGCAAGCCAATCAAGTTCCTTCTTGTCGAGGTTTGGGAACTTCTGCAGTGTCATGGCGGGATCGCGGGCCTGCTCTTCAAGTTCAGCAGCGGTGGCTTGTGGAGGAGATGAGCCGTGGAGAAGCAAGGCACTGCAATAGGCTAACTGTTGGGTGACCTCAATGCGATCCTGGACAGCAGGCAACTCAGTCTTCACCATAGGCGCAGGCAAGTTCTCGAGAAAGATATTCGAAATCCATTTGGTTTCAACAGGTGCAGGAAGGGACTTGTCAACAGGAGGGGTAGATGTGACAGCTAGGTCGGCAAATGAGTGAACGTCACTGGCTGAGGATGCAGTAGGCGGTCCCACAACTTGAGGAGGGTTTTGATCACTCACTGCCAGGTTAGTGACCGTGGCATCGACCTCTTTGATCTTGGATTTGGAGAAGCCGAAGATCTCGCGAATTACGTCGCGCTTCCTGACGCGCTGGGTATCATTGGCTTTACCAGTAACGCTAGTAGCATGCGGACCTGATTGTTTTGAGGGTTTGCTGACCATGTTGCGTGCTGTTATGGATATTAACGAGAACAAGTGTTAGCAATTGATAATCATCATCGAGTAGGCGCAAGGTTGGCATGGAAGGGCTATGCATGTTTTACAAAGTGCGTACCTTGAGGTCTTTTTGTGATTGTGTACGAGGTTTGCAAAGATGGATTTGGAGTCGGTCGACTGACAGCGGAGATGGTGAGGATGGCGAAGATGGGGAGTAATCAGAGTGAGTACTGCAAGAAAACACACAGCATAAGGAAGTTAGCACTATAAGCCGTCTTGTCGATAATCAAAGAAGCCTTCTGGTGGGATTGTTTTAAAAAAAACGAAGGCACTTACTGTGTTTCCTGTTTGTTATCTTCTTTGTGTGTGATCTTCAGCGACGCTGACGGTCAATGCCGAGGAAAGTTTGGTTGTTCTTTTGGTAAATCTAAATAGAGAGATTGGATGAACATCGTATTAGAAATTGGACCTTCTCCGCGGGAAAAAGTCGACAGTCACACCGTTGCTCGCGTAGAGGAAACCGTAAGCAAATAACGCCTACTTTTTTGTGTTATGTGTTTGGTGCAAGCTTCCCGGTAGTGGAGCAATTGGGTTGTTGTTGGTCTTGTCCCCTGTAAGAAAGACTTGGTCAGGTATGGGCTTTGAAGGAGAGTGAGTATGTTGACTGTATTGTGAAAAGGCAATTGGACGGATGTTAAAGAGAGAGATCTTTCAGAGGCGAGCGTGTGAACCGTTCTCGCTGCTGCTTTGTTTGCCGGACAAGGCGTACTCTTTCATGGACCGGTGTATGGTTATTATGGCGAAGGGAGTAGGTTTCTGATGCAGGGGTCTGACGAATGAATACAAGAAGGACGAATGCGAGGAGAAGAGAAGATGATGAATGAGAGGAAAAGGTGTTGACGATGACAAAGGGGAGGTGAATGTCGGAGGAGGAAGAGAAGGGAGCGAAGGAAGAGAAAGTAGAAAAGGGACAAAAAGGGCCAGGTGCGCATTGAAAAACAACGGCGAAATATTTGAGCCCACTTGCCAACCATGGCACTGCCTTTCGTCCCATCATGCCATTTGCACTGTCTTGTTTTTACTTGTGCTCCCATTTCAATTGATCGCTTTCTTGACCCCCCTGTCCAGCCCAGCCTTACCCCTGCACCGCCTGCATGCCTTACAATGCATCACACTTACAAGAACCAATGATAACCATTGTGCCATTTTATTCCTGTGTGTGCATTTGTGTGTATGAGCTGTTAATGCTTGTTTTATCGCTTGACTGTCTTCTCTACAGGGTAATATCCCACAATCCGGTCGCGCAACAGCCTGGCAATGTTATTTCCAATCGTCTCCGTCGCCATCGTCTATATTACGTCAATAGACAACAAAATAAAGAGATAATAACAAAACGCGTTAATGACGGCATTAACCTTTCTTAACACATGCAGAACAGTACAACAGTGGCGAAGACAAAACAAAGGTACTCGGGCATACGCGTCGACTCACGGCGACATTGATCTGCTCATGAAAACAAAACCAGGAGAGTCTTAGATAAGGTTATCATTCAGGTACATAAAAAAGATCTAATAACACTTGAATCACTTCGAACGTTTTGCATTTTAATTTGACTGTGGGTCATGTTCTGTCAATAAGACAATCTTGGGTTGTGTTTTGTAAGAACCTCATCAATACCAATGAGGAAATGTCACAGCTGTGTTTTGTTTACTCTTTCTTGGATGTCCATTTCTCCATCGTCATCATTTCTCCTACTCCTCAGCTTCCGATCGTCCATCTTCCTCCAATGTTAACGAGTCGTCAATGGCACCGCGCTGGACCAACAACTTCTTTTGCATCGGACTAAGACCACCATTTCTTTTTTTTTTTTTGAAAAGCACGCAACGCCTGTGAGCTGTCGTCCCCTTCGCATCACAATGAAAAAAAAAGTGAAGTCAAAAACAGAATACGTTCAAAAGTCTGCCTTATTATTATTCATTCGATCTACTCGCTAGCCACTTCACCAACGGCGCCGCGCTGCTTCAACAACAAAGAATTGACAAGGCTCAAACCAACAACCTCATCCACCTTGGCAGCCTCGAAAGAAAGCTCAGTGCACCCCATGGCCCAGAGCAGCTGCAACTTGTACGTCCCTCGATCCTCCACAAGTTTCCAAACGTTCAAGGACTGCGACGACATGACGGTCACCAAAACTTGATAGTCAGCAATGCGCGCCCATCGAATGTGCACCGCCACGCCAGTCGTCGTATGGAAAACCTCCTCCAGACCGTTGTCGTCGCCACCTGCACCTGCACCTGCACCTGATCCAACATTCCATAATCGCAGCACTCCGTCCTTATCACAAGTTGCCATGAACTCCCCTCCAGGTGAAAAGGAGCAAGTGCGAAACTTGAATCCAAAGTTCGAAAATCGATTACTTCGCTCTCCAGACTGGGTGTTCCAACAACTCGCCTCAGCATTAAGCGCAATCAATATGAGGTCCTCCCTGCCCGGCCAGAATATCGCTTGGATAATGGGCACGGGATGATTCAGAGTGAGTATATGCTTCTTCGTCAGCGGGTTCCAAAGTCTGACACTCCCATCCATGCTCCAGCTGGCCATCTGATGTCCGCTCGGTGAGTACACAACGCCACGCACTATGCCTGTATGCCCCTCCAGGATGGACCTCTTCTCGCCAGTCTGAGAATCCCACGTTCGCACCGTCTTATCGACTCCGGTAGAGGCGACCTCGTGGTCAGTCGGCGAGAAGGCGGCGCTTTCGACGGGGCCATCATGACCTTCAAGAACGTGCAGGACCGATCCTGTCTTAACACACCAAATCCTCACTGTCTTGTCCCAGCTGGCAGAGACGAGTCGCTGGCCGCAAGGAGAGAACTTCACAGTTCCAGTGTGGTGGGTGTGTCCACTCAGAACGGCCGTCTTCCTGCCTGTAAGAGTCTCCCACAGTCTCAGTCCGCCCATGTTGCTCGTGACGATCTGATTTCCGTCCGGAGAGATATCGACAGCTACTGAGGCTAGAGCATAAGATCCCACAGAGTTTCTAGTCGCACTCCCTTCCAACCTCCATAGCCTCACAGTCTTGTCCGATCCGCCCGAGGCAATGCAATCACCGGCCGGAGAATAAACAGCACTGCCGACTTCAAAGCTATGTCCAGACAGAATGCTAATGGACTCGCCAGTTTTCGGATCCCACAGGTGAACCCTGCCATCGTAGCCATAGGAGGCAACCTGGAGACCGTCAGGAGAGAATGCCAGCCCAGCGACAGGTGCCGTATATCCAAGTCTCATGTTCTGTATCTCGCCTGTGTTCGCGTCCCAGAGCCGAGCAGAGTGGTCCCAACCGCCAGAGCCGATCAAATGCCCGTCCGGTGAATATGTGATGGAATGAACAGAAACCTGATGGCCTTCAAGCACAAGAAGCGGCTCTCCGTTCTCGAGGTCCCATGTCCTGATCGTCCCGTCATCGCTACACGACGCGAGTTGGAGGGAGGCTGGTGAAAAGGCCACTGTATTGGCTGCTTTGGTGTGGCCGGTGAAGATACGCAAGGAATCGCCAGTCTCAGTCGACCAGATCCGCACCGTATGATCCTCGCTTGCAGAAGCGATCTGAGCTCCGTCGGGTGAATACGCGACAGAATTAACGCAGTCAGTATGACCTGCCAAGACAAGTCGAGGTATACCGGTCAGTATGTTGCTCAGATGCACTGTGGACGCGCAATCCTTCAGACCCATCCCCATAGCGAGTTCTTTGCTGGTAGGTGAAAAAGTGATGGCCAAACCACCGGGATGCTGGGCGATCCTCTCCCATGTGGCGGTGGCAAAAATGTTGATAGTGTCAAGAGTGGTCGAAGCGGCAAAGTATTGACCATCGGACGAAAAGACGCACATCAAAACCGGCCCATCCAACTCCAAGTAAGGTAACTCTCCAAACTGGGCCCTGGTCATCACGGCCTTCCTGAGGTCCGCCTGTCGAAGCCACGTATTGGTCATGTTGACACCGCTCAGATCAGCGCCTTCGAGGTTCGCCGAATCAAATTGTCCACCACGGAGGTCAGCACCCGGAATCCTGATCCTTCGTAGATCCACGCCATTGAACCGAACGCCAGCCTTCACCAAGATCGTCATCGCGTTTGCCGCAACCTGCCCTGCCTCCGTGTCCGTCTTCGAATCCTCGACAATATCAAGCAGTCGCTCCTTGAAATTAGGGTCCATTTCCACGCGCTCGGCCAAGAATCGTAGAATCGAAGGTTCGTCGATGATGCTCATCCGAGCCAAATTTGCCTTGAGATCAATATAGGATGCATCTCCGGCGGAAGTGGCATCGGCCGCATGCTCGCGCGGATCATAGATGGTCCTCGAATAAAAATACTCTAGTAGAGACCGGTGAAGAAAACGAAAATAGGCGCCAGACCGATCCACAGTACTGGACTCCCGGAGCATCTTGATTGGTTCGTCTGGACTGAAAAAGGCAGCCTTCCATGTGGTACCGTCGCGGAGATGAGTGTACTTGATGACGGGGTGTCCTGCATTCTTCAAGAAGATCGCCGCCGCCAAGTCCTTCTGGAATCGGAGACCGTTGTCGAGAAACCCGTCCTCAAGAAGAAGATCAAGCACTCGTTGTTTATCCATGCACATCTGACTCTCCAACAGCCTGCGCTTGTTAACCTTTAACCAACGCTCAACAAAGCTATCATACAGCTGCACCCGACTGATACGGATTGTCGCGAGGTTGTCACGGGTGCCGACAACGTTGGGTAGGGTGTCTAGTGTCAGAGTGAGTAGGAACGGGTTGGATGACATGTCTAAAAGGTTCGGAATGTTGACCAGCGAGCCCATATAGTCGCGCACTGTCCATAACGGCTGGCCTTGGGGAGGGCCACGTGCAGAGAGCTCTTTGACATACTGTTCGACGTACTGCAGGATCTGTGGCCTGTAAAACTTGGCTATAGCCGCTTCTTGAAAAAGGGTTGTCGCAGGGCCGTCGTATCGACTCTCGGTAGTGGGTTGAAATAATGAACGATAGTCTTGTCCCAAGTACTGAGTGCGGCAGCTGATGACAACTTTGACCCTCCACTTGCCTGGACTGTTGAGCTCGTTCGTAGTGTAGATGTTTTTCTTGAGCTGGCTCTCGTCGTATCCATCGCAGATGATAATAAACTGTCGGTTCTGTTTGAGTTCCTGGATCTCGTAGTCGGTAAAGTCGAGTCGTCGCAATTGCTTGGCGATCAGGTCTTGTTGCGGATTGTCGATGGATGGCAGGTTGATGTGGAGAGGGATAGGGTCGCCTCTCTTGTAGGCCTTCCAAAGAGTGCGCTCGAGCTGCCGATTGAATGTTGATTTTCCTCCTCCTGAATCGCCCAGCAACAGAAAAACCAGGCCGGGGCCGTTCAAGAAGTCCAATGCCTTTTCCATCAGCGGAAACAAAGTCTTGTCGGCACTTTGGAGGGTAGGTTTGGCCTGGGGTGGGATGTACACAGGGTTCCCTGGCTGTATCAATCGACGGATCTTCAGGTTAAGTAGGTCAGACTCGATCGCTGGGATGGCCATAACTTTCGCAAGCAGTTCTGATGACGATGGGACTGGCATACAGATCTTGATGGGATAAGAGCTGACCGGACATTCCAGAAAACCGCGGTAGAGTTCCTGTCTGCCAACGTCGCCTTCCTTTTCCAGATCTTGCAGAGTGGACTGGGCATAGTCAGAAACTGTAGTGTCTGCGGAGTCTCCGATCTGGCGGAGGATGTTAAGGATCCACTTGTCGATGCCCTCGTTTGGAGATCGGATTGCATCGTTCTTGTACAGCTGGGAAAGGAGATCGACGGCGTGTTGGCAGGTGGCACTCTCCCACAGTGGGTCAACTGCTATTTCGCCAAGCATGCAACAGATCCCCCACTGAAACTCGACGTGGTCGCGGCAGGGCGCCTCAAAGATGAGATGGTTGAAATCCCGAAGTCGACCATTCCTGATATGCTCTTGGGCCTCACGCAGCGCAGTATACCAGAGCAGCCTTCCATCAGACCTGACCCTGCTCTGAACGCCCTCCAGTACATCCTGATCGCTCTCGGGCAATATCTCCACACCGCCGACAACCTCGGTGTCAGTCTCACGAGACTCAGTCTCGTCATTCAGCTGATCTGGATCTAGCTGGCAGACGCTCGCAACCCCAAGAAGTCCCATGGTAATGTTGTCCGCATGACGCAACACAGACTGGCGACGCGTCTCGTCGTTGGGCGCGTGCAACAGACCTTGGGAGGCGTAGATGACCTGGTGCCTCAGGTAAGGGTCGAAGCTGTCCTTCATCTGATCCAAAAGCGCAGCTAGCGGCTCATGGTCAGCAGCTCGTCGTACATCCTTGGCCATGCTGTCGACCATGACATCTATAAGGCGAGAAAAAGCCTGGGCCAAGTAATAGAGGTGCTTGGATGGCTGTTGGTCGCTCCCATGCCAGCAAGTGCAGAGAACAGCGAACATACGGATAAGATCTTCAGCCTCTATGTACTCTGGCGAGGCACTTTCGACAAGCTGGACCAGTCCCTGCAGTAGGTCGATATCAAGCAATGTCGAGGCCTCGAATTTGTCGATAACACAGCTGAGCAGCTTGCGGTAGTACTCCTCGTCGAGGTATGGGGCAAGAAGAAGAACCTCAGAGAGAAACTCCGTACTCTTGAGACTGTCTGCGGCAAACTCGTCGACAACTCCTTGTGTGAGCCAGCGGATCCTGCTTACTTCTCTCTTGCTTTCCGCATAGGGCTCGATCAAGGCATGCTGGGTCCTGTCAAGAGGCGTATGAATGACTGCAGCTGCCGAGGAGGGTGACACGTACATGCGGAGCAAGTTGCAGCAGTAGGCCAGCTGTGTGGTATCTTTGAAGCAATCTCCTGGTAGGGGCAAGACGGTAGACAGAGTAGGGGTGGCAATGTTTTGAGGGAAAATGGTCAACCATGGCTGGCTGGCAGTCGGATATAAGGCTGCCAATACCTCGCCTTCGACCTCCAATGAGCCGGTAGCAACAGGAGGCTCTTGGGCTATCGGGAGCATACTTGAAGTGTCGTCGTTCACGACAACAGCAACGGGCTCTGTGAGGAAGTTTTGTTCGTCCTCATAAGCATAAATATCTGTGGGTCTGATCAAGGTCGATACCAGAGAGACACCCCCTTGGCAGTTCTGATGAACAATGCCGACGGAAACGAGCGGGACAGTCGCGATGGCATGGAACACTGTTCTTCTCTGGCGGGTAAATTGGGGAAACAGTCTCCTCAGGATCGAGTTCGAGCGGTTGTCTCTGGCATCGGTCGGTGTCAACTGAGAAGGACCAGCATTGGAGATACTTGAGGGAGTACCGTGGGGCGATTTCGCCTGTGTTGAGTAACGCATCGATATAACAGCTCTATGTAAAAGTGCGAAAATAACAAGAACGTGGTTGTCAGGCCCATTTCGTCTTGTCGTTCTCTGAGAGACGTAATAGCAGCCAACCATTTTTCTGAGTAATAGTCGTACTGTAGTCGCTGAGAACTCAGTCTGTTGGGTTAGATTGACGGTTGAGAAGAGTTGATTGTCGAGCCGATGTTATTGTCGGAGGAGCAATGGGGTTCACTGCAAGGAGTAAAAATGAACCATTGTTTACTGGTAAGAATCCATGTGAGGGTCGACAAAAAAGCAACTGACCGAAGCGCTTTGACCATCCAAACATACCTGGTGGAAACTCACACGTCACGACAGTTTATGAACGGAGAAAGAAGTCAACTCTACTGCTCAGCGCACACACACAACCGGAGGGGAGGTCAAGTTGACTTGGCTTGGTGCGGAGACTAAAAAGCAGGCAGAAAGGAGGCAAAAAAAAGTAAAAAAAAAATACAGGAGAGTGTCAGTCCACAGCGTTTCCCGCTCTAACCAACAAGGAAAGTCTGTTCCGCTCAGGATTGATTGTGCTCGGTTCGTAGAGCCTCACGTATGCTACCTCCATCAAATGAGGATGGAGGATGTCGTTGATTCATGAACTAACTAAATGTGTGACCAGGGCACTAATCACCAAGATTCTGCTGTGTAGAGATAGTAAGCTCTAACGCTCTTGACTGAAAAAGGGTGGCAGCAGTGGGACTTACTTGTGTGTGTTGGCAAAGGTCTTTTGTGCGTGCTGAGTTGGGAATGAAAGTCAAGGTAGAGAGAGAGTAGGAGAAAGAGGTTGGCAAAGGTGAAGGATGATTGTTGAGAGTAAAGTATGTAAGATGCAATCAACAGAATGAAGCAAAGAAGGAAGAGAAGATGAAGGGTGGTGTGCGTGTGTGATTTATCGGAGGGAGAGTAGCAGGAAAAGAGCCAGAATACGTCCTATCGAGAGAGAATTTTTTCGGGCATTTTTTGTGCCGCTTACGTTGGTTGTGTCTTCGCCATGGACCAATACCCCTGAACCCATGACCCATCTCCAAATTTTGGCTACAGGGCTGTGGGCGGAGAAAGGCTCTTACTCGAGGGAGAAGGGTGATTTTTTAGTGTGCGTTTTTTTTGTATTGTTTTGCTGAGAAGAGATAGAGGTTGTACTCTTGTTGATGTTATTGGGTTGTTGTAAGAAAGTAAGGTAGCGACAAGAGCTACGTGAACAACCCGAAGAGGTGAGGTAGTTCATGCTAACGAAGGTACACTAAGAAAGGGTCACCAATACCTTCTTCGGATCTAAAGATCGTCTTCTGTCTCACACCTGGCAGACGAAAGAAGAAGAGGAAGCTGCGCCATGGCATTTGCATATGCATGTGAGCGTTGCTCGTCTTTTTAAATTGTTTGTTTAATCTCCGTTTCGACTATCGGTGCATGGTGCTTTCCATCTACTTTTTTTTCATTTCGCTGAATCTTCTTTTTTTCATGCCTTGTAAGATGTTATGCATAAGAAATGACAAGAAATCGGCTTCAATATACAAAAACAGACTAAGCAAGGCTCTTCTTTAAGCTCAGGGTTACCAGTACCCTTGTTTACAAGAGATTGCGGGGCCAAGCCGTTCTTTCAACCGGATATCTGGAGCCTTCCAAGCTGAGCTTTCGGAACACCCATCCTCGATAAGATAAAATTATCAGCGTGCCAGTTTGGAACCAATGATAAACAGGGCTGACCATTTATTTTCCAGTGACCACAGCCTCATCGACGCCCCATTCATCTCCTTCTACAACCAAAGCGCTTTCTTCGCCCCACTCGTCTCCGTCACTGACTACAGCGGCCTCTTCTCCCCATGCATCTCCTGCTGTACTCATCTCTCCACCATTGCCCCAAGTATCACCTCCAGTGCTCACTCCTCCAACATCGCCCCAAGTATCCCCTCCAGTGACCACAGCCCCACTATCACCCCACACATCTCCAACTGTGACCACACCTCCACTAAAGCTCCACCCATCCCCTCCAGCAGTAGCAGCCTCACCTTCACCCCACCCATCTCCTCCTCCAGCAATAACAGCACCTTCAACAACACCGCGCTGGCCTAGCAGCTTGCTGTGAATCGGATCAAGACCAACAGCATCCTTGAACGCCAGGCCCTCGGCACAGAGGATCCTTAGATTCGAACCCCAGACCAACTTCACAGGAACAGTATCCTTGTCACCATCGTCGTTGAGGATAACTCGCCAAACGCGGACAGATCCGTCAAGACATCCTGTAAGAAACTCCATGGGGATGACTGGGTTCCAGGTAATGTTCTGGACGGTGCCGAAGAACCCGCGGACCACAGAGACACACGACCAGATTTCTTCCTCCTCCTTCAACTGTCGATGCCAGAGGCGTGCTGTCCTATCGTCACTACTGGAGGCGATCCATTCACCGCATGGAGAGTAGGCGATGCAGTAGACGTAGCTGGTATGTCCCTTCAGCTCTATACTAGGCTTCTCCGACTTCAAATCCCAGAGGTGGACCGAGAAATCAATTCCCAATGCAAGCTGCTGACCGTCGGACGAAGATGCCAGTTGCTGAACTCTGGCTGTTGTTACCTTCTTGGACATCACCATCTCTCCTGACCGCGGATCAAAGCACCGAACAATGCCATTCGAAGACCCGATCACAAGACGAGGAGGTTCACCCCGCGTGAATACCAGGCCACCAACAGACTCGTAGATCTCATCACCTGTACCAGGAATGATATGGCACTGCTGCTGAGGATCGCGTAGATCCCAGATCCGCACAATATTGTCCCAACTCGCTGAGGCCATCCATCGACCGCAGGGAGAATAGATCAACTCGACAACACGACTAACATGGCCCTCCAAGTAGAGTCCTGCTGCGCTCGTACGACTGTCCCACAACTGAATCGACCCCTCGCTCTCGCCACAAGACGCGATCTGACCGCGATCCGGCGAAAACTCTGCCGACTCCATCCAAAGTGGTGCTGGAAAGTCGAACGAAAACGAGCCAAGTGTTCCTGTCGACGCATCCCACTGTCGGAAGGTGTGGTCGGAAATGGTGACAACAGATTGACCGTCGGAAGAATACGTCGCCCTCCAGACCGGACCTCTATCGCCGCTCTGTCCCGGCAGCTCGGTACTCGATGACGATTGACTAGAGCTGGTCTCCCATAGCCGAATCTTCTTGTCAGCTCCACTTGATGCCATCTGAAGGCCGTTTGGTGAAACAGTGACGTCTTTGACAATGTTCTGGTGACCAACCAGACTAGACAAAAGGACGCCTGTCGACACATCCCAGAGCTTCAACGTACTATCTTCGCTGGACGAGACGAGCCACTGACTGGTCGGAGAAAAGGCGATCCCTGTAACTGTCTCACTATGTCCTTGGAGGACAGGACCCGCCTCTTTGGTAAACGCGTTCCACAACTGCAACCCACCATCCTTGTGTCCTGAAGCAATCCACTGCCCATCATGAGAATATGCAAGTCGATGCACTTTCCCCAGCGGCGGACTCAGAATAACTCCTGCCACCCCTGTCGCCGGATCCCAGAAACGAATCGTCCCATCTTCACTCCCCGATACGAACTGTCCCCCATCAGGCGAATACATGACACTCGAGACAACCCAAGTGTGGCCCACCAAAATAAAAAGGCACTCTCCAGTCTGTGAATCCCACAACCTCAACTCGTGACTAGACGAGGCGATCTGCTTGCCACAAGGCGAAAACGCCACAGACTTGACAACACTACTATGTCCCTTCATGGCCAACACATCTTTGCCGCTGGCGATATCTCTTAACCGGACTGTACGGCCATGGCCAGAGGAGACGAGTTGCTGACCGTCGGGTGAGAATGCAATAGCACGGACTAGGTGGCAATCCTTGAGGCAATGAATCCTTTTCCAGGACGTGGTATTGTAGATGTCGATGTTTCCGTACTCCAAACCAGTGGCAAGCATCGATCCGTCGGGCGAGTAGGCGCATACCGTGACAGGGCATTCAACTTCAATGAAGGGTAGTTCTCCAAATCGTGCATCATCTAACTGCGCGCCGCTGAAATCCGCATTCCGCAACCAGGTCCTTGAAAAATCGACGCCCGTCAAGTCAGCCCCTTGGAACTGAGCCGAGTCAAACTGGCCGTCAGAGATATCGGCCCCTGGGATTCTGATACCTCGAAAGTCGGCGCCGTTGAACGAAACGCCAGCCTTGACCAAAATCGAGATAGAATTTGCCGCTGCTAGCGCCGCTCCTGCATCTGCCTTGGACTCCTCAATCGCATCCAGGAGTTGTTGTTGAAAACAAGGATTCTGTGGCACTCGCTCAGCCAAAAACTGCACGATAGATTGTTCCTTGACAACGTTCATCCGAGTCAGGCAGGTCATGAGATTTGGACCTGGTTCCCGCTCATCGAGGTTATCGTCAGCTTTCTCGTCATAATCAAGAGGGTCATATATCGTCCTTGAATAAAAATACTCCAGTAGTGAACGATGGAGGAACCGAAAGAAGGCGCCAGATCGCTTCACCGTACTCGACTCTCGAAGCAGCTTGGCTTGGCCACTGGGGTTAAAGAACGCGGCCTTCCAGGTATTCTTGTCGCGAAGGTGGGTGTACTTGACGACGGGATTTCCAGCATGATCGATGAAGATAGCGGTAGCAAGGTCTTTCTGGTAGTGGATACCGTGGTATAGAAAGTTGTCCTCGATAAGCATATCCAGCTCCGTTCGCTCGTCTCTGTTCAACGGACTGGCTTCTAGTCGCATACGGTTGATCTCGAGCCATCGTTTGACGAAACTATCGTACAACTGCACGCGTGTGATGCGGATCGCCGATAGGTCCTCCTTGGACGCAACTACAGCTGGGAGGGCGTCCAGTGCCAGCGTAAGGAGGAAGGGGTTGGAGACCAGACCCATAAGGTTGGGGATGTTGACCAGTTTGTCCATGTACTCCTCCGCCGTCCATGATGACTTCTGCTGGATAGGGTCGAGCTCAGGTAGCTCATTGACATACTCGTCGACATACTGCTGGATCTGAGCTCTCGTGAACGCGGCGATGACAGCCTCCTGGAAAAGCTCTGTCACAACACGCTGGTATCGATCAATGGGCTGAGGCTGGAAGCGAGAGCGGTAGTCTTGTCCGAGGTACTGGGTGCGGCAACTGATGACGATCTTGGCCTGCCACTGCCCTGGTTGATTGAACTGGTTGGTGGTGTGGATGTTGGTCTTAAGCTGACTTTCGTCATAGCCGTCGCAGATAAGTATGAACTTTCGGTGCAGTTTCATCTCGTAGATCTGGTCCTCTGAAAAGTTGTGATAGTGCAGGTGCTTCTCGATGAGGTCGTGCGCCGGATCGTCAATGGTGGGTAAGTTGATGTAGAGCGGGATGGGACCGTACTTCTTGTAGTCCTTCCACAAAGTGTGTTCCAGCTCGAGGTTGAATGTCGACTTGCCGGCACCAGAATCGCCTAGCACCAAGAGCACTTGTCGGTCACTCTTCAAAAACTCCAGCGCCTTCTCCATAAGTGGAAACAGCAAATCGTTACCCGCCTGCAAGCTGGGCTTTGCCTGGGGAGGGATGTACACACCTCGCCTGTGTTCCTCAAGTCGCTGCAGCCTCAACTTATACAGATCAAACTCGATGTCGGGGATGGCCAAGACACGGACGAGTAGAGGCGACGTTGGTGGCAGAGGAAGGCGGTTCCTGAGCGGGTAAGGAAGATTGGCGGTGGTGCCTTGGTCCTGTTCGAGTTCCGTGAGTAAGGTGCGAGCGTGGGTGCTGACCTCCTGGTCATTTTTTGTGCCGAGTTGACCGATGATGTTGAGCATCCAAGTCTTGACGCTTTCATCCTGTCCCCAATCTGCGTCGCTCTTGTACAACTCTCCAAGAAGATCGATGGCTTGCTTGCGGACAACGGCATCCCAAATCGCGTCAGACGCAATCTCACCCAGCAGTTGGCAGAGGCCCCATTGGAACAAGGGGTCACGGCGACAGGGTGCCTCGTAGACGAGTTGGTTAAGATCCTTCAGCTGACCGGCCTGAGCAAAGGAATAGGCAGCGCGGATCGCAGCATACCAAGGACGCTTCTTGCCTGATCCACACCCCTCCTTCAGACTATCCATTACTCCTCGCCCGCTCTCTACCACAGAACAAATGCCCTCATAGGTCGTACTGGCGATGTCAAAGACACCTCCAAGAGCCTCTTGAAGATCACCAAGTCCCTCAACAATGGCTTCCAGATCCAGCTTCATCAACCCCGAGACCTTGACTAGACCGCTGGCGACTCCGGCAGAGTGGCGAAGAACTGCCTGGAGGACGGTGTCGTCATCAGGAACGTACTGCAGAGCCTGGAATGCGTAGCAGGCTTGGTACATGAGGTATGGATCCGAGCTACCTCTCAGACCCGACAAGACCCCAGCCAGGGGCTCATGATCCTCTACACGGTTCAGATCCTGGACTTGATGCTCTGCCATGACATCAAGCAGCCTCGAGACCGCCAGAGTGAGATGGAAAGAATACTCAGAGGTCTGTCCGTGAGTTCCCTCCAGTCGTGTCCTGAGGATGCGGAGGATCTTGATCAAGTCGTCGGCATCAAGGTACCCTGGGGAATTGGACTGGACCAGCTGAACAAGACCTTGGAGTAAGTCGACATCCAAACATTGAATCCGCTGATAATTGACGAAAGCAGCTTGCGATAGTGCTCGTAATCCAGAACAGGTCCTAAGGCGACAATTTCAGCAATCTTCACCGAATCCTTGGTGGCGTCTCGAACAAACTCTTCCACCATCCTAGTCGCCAGCCAGCGCAATCGATCCTCCTCCGTTGGGTCCGTGTTCATCACTACCAACCACTCGAGTTCTGCCTTGTCCAAGTTGGGTGTCGATGAAGATGCATGCTGGAGAAACAAGGTGTTGCAGTAGACCAATTGCTCGACCTTTTCAATTCGATCCTGAAGACGAGGCAATGCCGTCTTGATGCCAGGGTTGGTAATGTTCTCAGAAAAGTTCACCCTGGAAGGTAGATCAACTGTCGTGGGAGGAGAGGGAGGGTTGCTGTTACTGACAGGTGAAGTAAAATTTGGTGGTGGTGGTGGTGTCACTTGCTGAGATGAGGGCTGGGTCGAGGTCTTGTCCTTGGCCTTCAGTCCCAGAAACTTGCGGAACGCGCCGTGCTTTTTGGCGGGTTGAGTTGAGTCAAGATTATCGCTATCCTTTGTCATGCTTGAGGTCCTGGGTACGACAACAACATATGTAAGGATGGATGTTGGCAAACAACACCATGAAATAACCGCATAAGTAATTGGTCAATTTGAGGCAATGCTCCGGTATGTATATAGTCTGCTATTATTTACCTCTGTATGGATGCAAAAGAACAATTCTCAAGTGCAAAATAATGGCTATCGTGTTTGCCAGGTGACGAAGGAGAGATTGTCGAGTGTGTAGCGTGTCAATCTACATAGAAAATAAAAACATGGAAGGAGCATAGACATTCAATTAGTTTTTGTTCCTGGCATCGATTGCTCACAACCAGAACATAAAAAACACGCTCAGAGCCTGCACTTTGTTTACTCGCAGAAGAGGCAGTGCAATCTTCCGACTGGTGGCGCCCGATTGGGATGACTGACTCTCTGCCAAAGAAAGAGAGAGGGCACCTGTCAGCAATTGGGTTCTATTGTGAAAAAAGGTCTCTTTGGTTTTTAGAGGCTATTCTTCGCTCAAAAGAGAGACTTACAAAGGTGAATAAGGAGGATGCTTTTGTCCTGTGTAAGGTTACAGGTTTATCTTCCCGTAAGGTTCCTTGACTAGTGACAAAAAAACTAGATGAAAGTTGTCAGAAAATGAGTGCAAGGAGCAAGCCTATGTCAATTGTGTTTCCGCTGTACGTCTGTGTCGACGGTGACTTACTCTCCGCCACGCGTTGTGAGTTTTCAGTGAATCAGATGTAGATTCCTGATGGAAGAAATTCAGAATGAGTGAATAATGAAAGTGTAATGCAGAAACTGGATGTCGGATGAGCTGGATGAAGTTTGTGTCGGTGATGGTGAAGGTGAAGTCGAGAAGTGGAGCAAGAAGGAAAGGGAATGATAGAAAAGGCGGCACCATTGTCGTCGTGTTCGCTTCTTTTATTTCGTGTGTTCGGACTGTCTTCGTTTCCCAATGTTCTGCACTGCCACTCAACACAAAAGACGAGAGATTTCCTTACCGTCCACGCAAAGAAGAGTCTCATGGAGAACTTGGAGTTGATGCAGTAGTGCAGAACTTGAGATTGATCATGACCCAGCCGAGGCGGGGTGTCGAAGATACCGCCGGCTGTCTTCAACAGACTGGATGAAGGGACTGAGCACGGTTCCGCATTACGTTTGCTGATAGGTTGTGCTCACATTTACCCAGGTGAAGAAGGGGCACAATGTCAGTGGCGATGCAGAAAGTGTATATTCTCAAACTCCTTTTCTCCTTTTCCTCCATTTGTTTTCCTTATAGTTACTCGTTGTTCGTCTTCGAGGGAAGTTCTAGGCGACACTGTTAACCTTGAATCGCAGGGTGTCAGGGAAGGTGCCTTAGATATCGACGAGTCGGCTATATAGTTCGCACGAGTAGGTTTTTTTGCCAACAGGCTAACATTATGGTGGACAGTCATGGTTTGTCGATCTCTACTGCTTTCAGGGATGAAGGAGTGTGGGTGTGTATATGTGCCGTCTTTGCTGAGCTGTGTTGTGTACAGCATTCGTGATTGGTGGCGTTGAAGATACGGTCCTATGGTGAGGTTCTATACGTGTCCATCGTGCCAAGTGACAACACGTTGCCGTCGTACCATTGATAATTGGCCAATGAAAAAATGCGTTTGTCTTTATGTTCGCGTCAAAAGCAGTCCTTCTTGTCGCAATCAAACGCGTCGTGTCCTGTCTAAGACACCTTTCTACCGTAACTGAACAACAGGAAAATCAACACGCTCACACACAGGCACAGAGACACACATTCCCAGGTAACCACTTTTTTAAATATAATAATTTAACGCGTCGTCCTGGTCTGTCCAAGGATAGGAACGAGAAAGTGGACGAGTGAGAATGAAGTTTTTTATTCCCTCCTTGTCCTTGAGCAGCTTTTTATAGGCCCACCAACAAAATGAACACGAAGCACCTCCAAAACATCTCTACTTGCGAGGGAGCCCAGCAGGAACAGCCTTAGGTTTCTCCAACCCCAAAAGCGGGTACAACCGATCCCTCACCGGCGTCAACGCGGTCACCGCCAAATTCCAATCCGTATCCACCAACACCTTCCCAACTTCCTCCGTCTCCTTCGTCGGCTCCTCTACCGATCCACTCAACATCAAATACATCGAATCTGCAGTCGTCCTCCGAATCTTTGGGAAAGGATGCACCAACAACCTCAGCAACTCCAATAAAATCGCATTCCGGATCTTGCCACCCAATCCGCACAATCCACAGAATGTGCGAATGGCTGCGCAGAGCTTGCGGGTGTCCTTGCATTTGATGGTTTGGCGACGGACGAATTTGACCATGGGGGCAAAATCGAAATCGGTGGGGTGGGTGAGGAGGAGAAGGATGCCGGATTCGAAGAGGAGGTCGAGGACTTCTAGGAGCGGGATGACGAGACGGTCTTGTCCCTCGTAGCGGTCAATGATTTTTTGGATCTCGTTCGCGAATTCCACGAGGGTCATGGTTGGGGTGGAGGGAGTACCGTCTACATCCATGATGTCGTTGGTGGTGATTGGGAGGTCGGAGATGAATTCTGTCAAGCATGAACTCGAGTGGCGGACCTATATGTTATTCACAACACTTGGTTAGCCGACAGATCGATGGCCATAACAACAACAACTTGCACCCCTGAACAAAACAAGAACAAGAAACTTACCAAGGTTTCGGTAAGTCCACCGGCACTAATAACAAAGCCCAAAAGTAGCTCAGACCGGTACTCAGGCAAATGCAACAGCTGCACAATTCGAGCATAGACCTCCGAAGCCTGCAACCAGATCAAGTTCATTTCATCTGACTTCTCAACAATCTTCATCACCTCTGCACGATGAGGAATCCTCAACACATACTCGGGTTCCCTCCTCAGACCCTTTTCTTCTTCACTTTCGCCCTTTCCAACAACAACAACAGCAGGAGCAGTTTCGGCCTCGGGATCAACCTCAGCGTACAAGATGGCGACCATGGCTGTGGCTGCGGCACCACGGATACGATCAATCTTCTCAACTGATTGCTGCAAAAGCTTGGCGAGAACCTTGGTATGGTCCTCGTCCGTGAGGTAGCGCTGATCTGCTTGGGATGGAGTAAGGTGGTGGTCACATCGGGCGACGATCGGGACCATTGTTTGAAGTCCCTGCATGCTCGCCTCACGGATCCAGGAACCGACGTCTCCGCGGTGGTCGACACTGTAATCCTCGAGTCCTCTGAAATACATCTGAAGAATCTTGTTTGACAATGAGTGTGAGATCACTAAATGGAATTGATTCACAAAGTAACGCAAAGTTAGGATATGGAGCAAAGACACAAGCATAAACTTGTACATCTAGATGTCGCTTATCCCATACCTTGCTTATAATCGGCACCTAGGACCCTGACGATATTGGTGACAGAATTAATAGCATTCCTCCTGGACTCGGCATCAAGCTTAACCTCGGCTCCTCCAGCAGCTACGGGGTTATGGTTGGCCGTAACATCCAGCGACTCCACGATCCTGGTAGCGTATCCAGAATACCTCTCAACCCTGTAATCAATCTCTCCCAACGCCAATGCAAATCCACGCTGGCCCAGATACTCTGCTCCAGGACGAATTCTTGCCAAACACTGCTCAAACTCTGTCGCGGTAATACCGTATTGACCAAACATGGCGCGGAAAGTCCTCGAGGCAAGCTTCTGCAGAGGTTCCTCGACACGCTCCAAGGTGGTGTAAATGACACTCTTCCATGATTCCAACACAGTAGCTTGGTTGGCACTGTCACCCAGTGGCCAGGCTGCCTCTGAGAGGCAGGTGATGAAAACGCAGAGTGCCTGACGAGTTTGCTCACTTCCGAAACCGGACAGTGTGAACTCTGGTGTCGAGGAAACCACTTGCGTGATTGCCTGTGAATATAGGGAAAGAAGCATGGATTAGTTGGGTGCACAGATTTAACACTACTATTAACTCGGTGGAACATAGCTGAGTGACATACCTGGAGAACTTCAGGTGCGATTCTCTCCTCGACAGGGATATCAGAGTGCGCCTTGACGGCCTTGCATGTCCTTCCGAGCGCAATCAAAGCACCATGACGGATAATTGAGTCCAAGCTAGTCGCGTTCTTTGTCTACATATGATACCATCCCACGGAAGAAAACGTCAATACGTTAATGAGAAGGAACTATCTTATAACTTGATCATTCACCAAAGATAACATATGAAAGTGAGAACTTACGAGGGCGGGGATGATAGTGCTGCAGGCAAAGTCGAGATCAAGGACGGCGATGCGGGCCATAGACTCAGCGGCGACTTCACGGACAGCAATATCCCAGTGAGTAATGACAACATCCACGAGATGCTCTGAAAGGTAGCGTCTGTACTCCTCAAACCTATCACCAAACACATTGAGAAAGTGGTTAAATATTCTGCTAAAAAATTAACGCCACCAAAATTTGAAATGCAAAAACGCAAAGATACTTACCCAGCGATGTAAGGCGCGACGTTCAGGAAGGAGTTGTTGATGTTTCCGATCGAAAAGTAGTCGGCTACCGTAACGATATCGATGCCATGAGGAAAGATGCCCTATGTTAATGGAGGAGAAAATATACACAAAACAAAGTGTTAGCAACGACCTTCGCATCCATTAATGCTCTGTTGAGTATTTTGCTGTCGTGGAAGCAAGACGCTTACCATGCGTCCGACATTCTCCTGGAATGCAGCACTACTGGCACGACGAATATTGATATCGCGATCAAAAACAGAGACTGCAATCAAGGTGTTCGACAACTTGCGGACATGAACATCCAGAACGTCAGGGGTATAAGCTCGAGCAAACGACCAGCAGACGTAACAGGCCGAGTCACGGACATTGCTTCCGACAGAATGAGCACCACGCTTGACATCAAACTTGAGCGCCAAGATGATCCAGGGAATGACTTCAGTCAGACGGTGAGGCAACAAAAGTCCACGACGCGACAGCTCGGCAATAGCCAAACAGGCGCCGTGCCAGGTGTGCTCTGAGACGGATGAAATGTCGGGTTCACCGTTGGGAAGCTCAAAGACATCCTCGGAGAAGAGCTCAAAGATCCCACCGACAACATCGTCAGCCATCTCCTTGGGCAAACGATTACTCAATCTTCCCATTCCCTTTGCTGCCGACCAACGCACAATCGTGTCCTATTGATCGAAAAGGTGCAAATAATGAGAGCACCGTTAGTATATCATAGCATTTTATGTTATGCTTCCGTTTAACCTACAAACTTTGATAAGAAGTGGCACTTACTCGATCGCGGAGGCCGTTCATGAGACGCTCAATGACATTTTCGACCGCATCAGGAACATCAAAGTTCTCATCTTCCTCGTCCTCGTCCGCAATGGTCATCGACACCTTGTCCATCTTGCCAGCTCCTCCTCCCTGTTTGACTGCGTCAGGGGTCAAGTTACTAACCAGCGAACGGTTGCCACGCTGATATCTCCAAGCAGCAACTCGGGGCTTCAACAGACACAAGCCAACACGCTGCGAAAGCTTAACGATATGCTTTTTGACCGCAGAGTTGGACATCAAACTCTCTTTGGTCTCAATACCAACCAAAAGCTCCTCCAACTGGTCAGCAATGGGCAAGAGCACCTCACGCTGGCCCAGCTTGAAGATCCAGCAGAGAGTTCCTAAGATACCTATGGACTCGATCAAATTGGGAGTCTCTGACTGAAGGGAATCCTTGGCCCAATGGACAAACTCAGGGAGGTAGACACGGCAGGTATCCTTGCGTGTGAGAAGACGTGCCAGGAAGAGCGAGGCTCCATCACGATCCTTTCCCGCGCAATGGAGGTACGCCTTTCCTTTCTCGATCATCTTGTCCACCAATGGGATCTGCATTATGAACAACGTTGATATGTATGTTAGATATCTGTTAAGTTACGTAGCTCATTTACACATATCTGACATGTCTTTAGATGTGTGACCCATACCTTGTCGCTATCCTTGGTGGCCTGGCTGTCAATGGTCTTGAGGTCAAAGGGAATCATACACATGAGCGAGAGCCAGATCAAGAGAACGTAACGCGTCTCCCACACTCTGCGCTTATCCTGTCTCTGCAAGAACTCGAACGCGGGTTCCAAATCTGCGACCTCGTGGGGCAAGAACTTGACTATTACAACATTAATTGTGTTACCAAAAAAAATCAGCGAAAAATCTTTAGTGGCGCTGATTCCATTATCTCGCACTCCAGCGAAAAAGAAAAGTACTTTTAACATACCGATGGTCTTGTAGCCACGGGTCTTGCAGATAAAGTTGACGATGTAAAAGATAAGATCACCATGCTCGTTCATGGGTTGACCCTTGAGGTCGCCAAAAGTGACGTCGTGCATGACCTTGCGGAGCGGAGCAATCAATGGGGAGATCATCTCCTCCAAGAAGGGGTCAAGAAGGTACGATTGATATTGGTATTTTCCGATCTATTACAACACACCATTCATCAGAATTAACTTGTTAGTAAAAGGGGGCCTTGCCGAATGGCTCCCCACATACTGAGAGAAAATGGGGCTGAAGTGATAGGGATAAAAGAGAAGAGACACGTACGTGGTTCTCGAGGTTCATTTGGAGACCCCAACGGGCTCGGAGGTCGAGCTCTGGTTCGCCCACGACGGGGAATGAGGCGAGGTGTTTGATGTCGTTGATGACCTGGGTAGAATTGTAGAAGAAGGAGGGTGTCTTTGAGGTCGGGTGGTATCCGTCATGGTCCTGGACGCTGTCGAGAAGTGCCTCGATGTCGAAGGCTTCCTCCTCTTGTTGGTGGTCCTGGTCGTCGGACATGGTTGTTTTTTAAAGAAAAGGAGGAAGTAGAATGGGGGGGGGGGGTGAGAGAGTAGGAGCGTGGGAAGTGTGTGTGCGATGCTAAAGGGCGACAAGGAGGTGAGTGTGTCGACAGTGTGGGGGTGTTGGAATAAGGTAAAAGAGAGTGTTCACAGCAAAGAGTTGTCGAGTAAGAAGGAGAAGGGAAGATGATGGGCGATTCGCCTTTACTTTTAAAAGATGAAAGGGAATGGGTTAACGAGCACAAAGGTCAGGCACACCTGGTTGTGTGAACTTTAACGTTTTTCGCAGCAGATTTCATTGGAGCGGATTCGCTCAAGGCTCAAGGGCAGGGATTTGCAGGGATTAGTGCAGGCAGGCAAACGGACAGCTATGAAGGAGCAGTCACTTTTCGATCAGTGATGTTTTGCGAAGCACTTCACCATGGACTTTTTTTTTCTTTTTTTTTTTTTTTTTGTTGGCTCTCATTCAACTTTAGTCGCAGACATCACCGGACGCAAGGACAGCGAACAGCAGCGAGTGACAACGCCTACAGGAAGACACTACATAGAGAACAACCTAATCAACAACACACAAAGCAATGTTCTACGATCTCAACATACCCGTCACACCCTCATCAGGCTCAACCCCGTCAGCACTGGACCAGCTCGAGACCAGGAAACGGGTCGAGCTGCTCGCTCATTGTAAGATATCAACCTTGACGTCTGCATTGATAATGCTGCTGGCGTATATTTCACGGATATATTACAATTGCATGGTGACCTCTATTCCAGTAACTGACGCGCGTGAATTCCTCTCTCTCTCAACGCTTCGGGAACATCATAGTGGGATATCAGGCCGTCGCATACAACAACGAGATCACCGGGAAAATGCCACAGAACCATGTGAGTAGCTCCTTTTCTCGTTACCCTGACAAGAAAACTGTTTGGAGTATTGACGCGCCCTCGAGGACATAACGAGCAACATATGGCGCAGGAAGGCTCTGACACCACACCTTTTGCACAATGAACCAACTAGGTCAACCCTATCACAAAACTCGCCCTTCCAGGAATCAACTTGAAGCAATACTCCAGACTGACACTTGTCGTCGACGACATTAGTCAGAACTACGGCCTGGTAAACCTCATCATTTCCGCCCTTTGATCCCACACCCTGCTCCAATTGATTCCTCCTCCAACAAAACCATTAAGAAATATGTTTGCTATACCTGATATAGAACACGAACAACCCTTCGATCGCGTCGTACGACATTTTGGCAGTGAACCCAACGAACGAGAAGCTATTCCAGGCGGCATGCGGGACATTTGAGGTCGACATCATCTCATTGGACATGTCGGCAAGGTTACCTTTCTACCTCAAACACTCGACCGTCGGACTCGCTGTCGAGCGTGGGATCTACTTTGAGCTCTGCTATGGTGCTGCCATTCGAGGTAACATCATTTTCAGGACAAGGGATATTTTTCAGACGATAAGGCGCGTGAGGTTTAGGGAGAGGCATTATTGATCTTTAACACTAAACCACATATTTTGTCTTGTCTCCTCCTTGGATGTTTCTTGGTGAATAGATGCGACGGCGAGGAGGAACTTGATCAGCAATGCACAGAGTTTGATCCGCGTGACGAGGGGCAAGAACATTATCATCAGCTCACAGGCCATGCGCGCCATGGAACTCCGTGGACCCTACGATATCGTCAACTTGTAAGTCCCGTTTCTCTCATATCTCTCCACAATTGAGATGATTTTTTTTTACTATGTGTCGTCGGAACTTTCAAAATCTGGTTTTTGTTTGTTCTTGGTTCTCAGGATTGTGCTGGCGATAGGAGTGGGAGTTTATACTGAATCTTGAGATCCTTTCTCCACACCCCAGTCAAGTCTTTGCACATGTCAAGAAGGCGCCTCTACTGACACTATCATTCGGCGTAATTATTTTTCCATAACTTGAATCTTGTTTTTAGTGGCACTCTGCTCGGACTTAATCAGGCGGTGGCCAAGGACTGTCTGAGCTCGCACTGTCGTGCTGTTGCCATGCATGCAGGTAAAGAACCTGAAGGCAGAACGAACCCAAAAAAAAAACCGCGCAGTTCCCTCTCTTCCTCTCCTCCACTTCTGCAATCGGACAGAACAAAAAAAAATTGCGGGCGTGCGCTGCTCACATCACACAAAGAAGAAATGTATCCGATAGAGTACAAAAAGTGGAGAGAGGAGGAACAGAGCACAGGGCACAATCCATCGAAATCACAATCCACATCGACTTTTTCTCATCCTCTTTCTTCTTTGCGTTCATATCAAACATGATACGTGGCTCTTTTCTGTTATCAATCGCAACCACTTACGCATACCTCCTCTCTCTTTCATTTCTTTCCCTCTATTGCTCACTCAATCACCCGGACGCATGACCACGACAGAAACTCGCCGGAATACAAACAGGGCAGTGATGTCCGTGGCGCCTGTGGCCTCACTCGCAGAGACGGAACAATGGAAGCTTGGAGGTGGTACACCAGGTGGCAAGCGCAAGAATGATAATAAGGGTACAGCTTCAAACAAGAAGGCCAAGGAGCACCAGTCGGAACCTGTGAAATAATAAACTATTGCCCCCCCCCTTCCCATTATTCAGGCCTGCGTATGTGTAAACGGCCATTCATGCCCCTATTGACCTTTAGCATTGAAAACCCCCTGAAATGACACTCCTAAGAGTTACTTTTAACATTTCTTGTGACAAATCATAACGAGCCAGCCGACAAGAGGCAATGAAGGGAGTCATATTCGAAAGAACAAGGGAGGGCTAGAAACCTCATTGGTAAAAACAACGTCTTGGGATTCTATTTTAGAACCAGTCGGGAAAGGGGCGGCGATGAACAGGAATATTACTTGTCCTTACAGCCCGGCACAGCCAGCAAGACGGTCCCTTATGTCCTTCCGAAAAAAAAATGGGATGTGCGTTGAGAATGATGGGTCGAGGGATGGGGAAAATCTCGTCGGTCTGTGATGATGTCGGGCATGTTTGTAATCGATTCAGGGGGGAGGAGGAAAACAGAAGCACGTCAAAAAGGGAGGGAGAAAGAGTGTCGGCACACGTATCAAAAGCATGTCCGAGAAAACAGCAAAGGTACGACATGCAAACCCTCTTCCCCGTTCAACGATGACAAACCTTGTTGCCAACGCAATTGAACCATCGACATAGATAGAAGAATGAAAAGAAAGAACAAACAAGAATGCTTTTCCAAATCGCCAGGGCTGTTTATTATCATCCGAGTGTCCCCAATAAAAATATACAAAAAAATGAATGGGGGTGGGCATCAAGGAGGAAAGTAAAAACTCCTGTGATGTTTCTATGTTTAGTGGGTGGTGGGTGGTGGTGTAATGAATGGGGCGGGGGTGATGGAAGAACCTGAAAAGAAGGCGAAACTCCCATCTTATCAATCAAGCCAATCCAGCTCGTTGTCCTTTCCTTGGCAGACGAACAGAACAAGAAAGAAATCTTAGTTGGTCTTCTTCTCCTTGATGACCTGGCGCTTATCGCGACCAATGGCATAGGTCCAGTTGTAAAGACCAATAGCCAACAACAAACCGCCAACAATGGTCAAACCCTGATCAACGTAGACCGAGGTAGGGAACATCTCGGCGACCTTCTCGGACGCAACGTCGTTGGGCTCGGGGGCGGTAAAGACGCAGCCCAACATGAGGAAGTCCTTGGTGATAACGAACATGATACGGAACAAGAGAGGGGCATACGAAAAGAGATCAAACTTCTCATCGGTCAAGGCAAAGGAGAAGGCGGCGGACTCGAGGAGGGCCGAGGCAAAGTTGCGGATAATGTCGACACCGAGGAAGAGCTTGTAGTAGAGGAGGGAGCTCTCGGAGGCCGAGGTGAAGGTCTGGACGTAGGACTTGGCGTGGGCATCGACGGCGATCAGGTCGATGTTGGGGAACCAGCGGTTGAAGGCGATTGTGGCGCCATAAACGGCGAGGACGGTGAGGACAAAGTCCTGGTCGACGAATGAGCGAGGCATGATGATGATCGAGTTGTAGTTGTTGGTGGTGTTGTTGATGAGGATGACCTTGAAGCTGGACTGGACTGGACTAGGGCGGGAGGGAACTTGCTTGGAGACTTGGAAAGTTGATGAGAAAAGAAGAGAAAAGAGAAAAAAGAGATGAGAAAAAGGGGAAAATAAGTAAATCAAAAGTACGTTGTTTCTTGTTGGTGAGCACAAGAAAAAGGAACCCAGATGAACACGAACAAGAGATGAACACGACGAACAGCAAATGTACTCGAATCTCTTCTTTGACTTCTTTCACCTGTAGAAAGCTCCCTTATTCTTCACTCACACGTCCTAACCATGTGCACACGCATACAAAAAAAACACCATCGAGACACGCATCTATCTCATAAGAACATCTTCGTTTTACTATTTTTCTCTGCCCTTCCCATACTGCTTTCTGCTAACCCTCGCTCATTTTGCATTTCCTTGGTACCTATCAAAATTGAAGAAGCTATTGAACTAAACAAAAAAAAAAGATAAAAAAAAAGAGGCCAGGCCAACAACAACAAGGAGGGGAGCCCCACGTCGAATGCTTATTTCTCTTTCCGGGTCCCCAATTGGCTGCATTCTTGTCAATCGGTATTTCGGTACATTTTGCTCTCACCCTCCTTATCCTTCTCCTCTCACCCACCTACCTTTCTGTTGTTTGTGTTTTTTGTCTTTTTTTCTCTTTTTTTCTCTTGAGTAACCATGTCTGGGAGCTCAACTTCAGTTCCAGCCAACGTTCTTTCTTTTGTTCTTCGCCTTCTTCTTCCCGCTGTACACACGTCGCAATGTGTCGAACCAATCACCACGCTGCACAACTTTAAAACTGTGGCTTATGGGGAGATCAGAGAGTGGATAAGAGTGTTTGGTGGCCAGGAAGAAGGGCCTATCGCACTTGCTGTGGAGACTTGCTCATGAATTCTGAATTCTTGATCTCACATGATCCTGGTTTTAATGATCTCAGACAGAGAGTCCAAGTGGACATTTTTTGAAAACGTTCTTCGGCTCAAACTTCAATACTCCCTAATGCTGACAACTTGCTTTGCGACTTTTGACTTTTTTGACTTTTGTTGCCGTTCTTCCGGATAAACCCACTCCCGCTCCCTTCATTCTTCTTCTCCTCTTCTCTTCCTCACACCTTCTTCTTTTCGTCGCTTTATCTGTCCGCTTCATTTCTTCCTCTTCTTCTTCTTTTTCTTCTCCTTTTTTCCAATCTTTGCCATCTTCCCTCACTCCACCTTCCCCCTCTTCACAACCAGCAACAATCCTAAATATGACAACCACAGAAGTAACCAAGCTCCTCCCTGACCAGAACGAGTTCCTTGAACTGCGCCCAGGACTCTTCCGCTGCACATTTGTCCTCACCTTCGGACCCGTCGGCCTCCCCATCGCCACCTTCCTCATCCGCGGCAATCCTATCCCTGCCACAGACGACAAGGCCCATGAATGGATCATGATCGATGCCGGTGCACCCCCACACGCCGCTCAGATCCTCACCGCCGTCGAACGCGTCCTCTCCCACCCACAGGACACCCTCAAATACCTTTGTATCACTCACGCTCACTTGGACCACACTGGCACAACCCCCCTCCTCCTTGAGCGGTACCCTGCCTGCAAAGTCATTGCTCACCCTGAAGAGAGACCTTTCCTGTGTGAAGGGAAGGGGTACAAAAGCTGCGCGGGCGATACGTGGGTGTTTAACGTGATGAAGCATTTGGCGTTGGCGAGCAAAGTCCAGATCCCGGTGGAGAGGATGCTTTGGGTTAGGGAGGGAGAGGAATGGGAGTATGGCGGGTTGGTGAAGGTGATTGAGACCCATGGACATACTCCTGGTAAGCACCTTTTTTTATATATGTCTGTGGTTTCTGGGTACCACGCTTTGTTGTTGTTTCTGTTGTTGTTTTTTTCTCCTTTTTTTTATGCTTTTTTTATGCGGGCACGGTTTTGCCGAAGATCACTCCTCTGAACAATCGCCACCAAAGAACTGACTACATATGGCCCACGTCGATAACGCAACTGAGTGATTGATGAGAAACCCTAAAACGAACAATCTATCGCATGTTTCTATCCCCTCTTCGGTCTGCGCCACCAACTTTTCACACCAAACAACCGCGTCCCCGCCATCACACTAGCTAACCCACTCCTCCTTGCCTTTCACATAAAAAAACCTAGGCTCGATCTCATTCATCCACATCCCCTCGCGCTCAATAATGATCGGAGACGCATCCAAGAACCACGCCTTCCTCTCCAAACAGCCTGGTCTCTCTTACCCCCTTTCCACAGGCACCTGTCAAATGGGAACTGCCATCAAATCCATGGACAAGATTATTTCTTTGAAGGATCAGGTTGATACCATTTTCCCGGCTCATGATTATAACCACGAGGGGGTTACTGTTGAGGAGATGGAGGTCTTCAGGGCCTCTAACCCGCGTTCCTAAATAGTTGTTTTTTTTGGCGTATGAGAAAATATGACCGTGGAGTCGAAGTAAACAGAAAGGACATATTAAAGCGACTAAAATGTTAACGCTTTTTGCAAGAGATATTATTGTTTTTTTTTGTTCCCTTCTCGAAAAACTAAGCAGAAGTAAAATGCGCATGCAAAGACAAAACCTCCTGTATCAGGAAAGGGGTCAAAAGAAATATAAAGGATCTTTTCGTCCAACCAACCCACAATGTTCATATCTTTCGATAAGAAGATCCCTCTAACACCGAGCGGCTGCGAGAAGTGAACTGGTTGGACTACTGAACCAACTGGAGCCAACCTGAGTAGTGAAGCAATTGACCAAGTGAACTATCAGGACTGCTGAGCCAGCTGGTGAAGGGAAGGAGACTTGTAGTGATTGAAGTGCTTGGAGCTATTTTTGCAAGAGCAAAGAAACTATGACTAAATTTTCTTTACTCGCGACTCTGTTTTTTTTTTCGCTCGAACCCCCTTATAAACCTCGGTCTCCCTCTTCCTTGTACACTTTTCAACTCCAACACCCTGTCACTTCCCGGAATTCTCAAGAAAAAAAATGGCTACTAAAGAAACACCAAAGCTCCTCCCAGACCAAAATGAGTTCCTTGAACTGCGCCCAGGACTCTTCCGCTGCACATTTGTCCTCACCTTCGGACCCGTCGGCCTCCCCATCGCCACCTTCCTCATCCGCGGCAATCCTATCCCTGCCACAGACGACAAGGCCCATGAATGGATCATGATCGATGCTGGCGCACCCCCACACGCCGCTCAGATCCTCACCGCCGTCGAACGCGTCCTCTCCCACCCACAGGACACCCTCAAATACCTTTGTATCACCCACGCTCACATGGACCATACCGGTGCAACCCTCCTTCTCCTTGAGCGGTACCCTACCTGCACAGTCATCGCCCACCCTGACGAGAGACCCTTTCTGTGCGATGGAAAGGGGTATAATAGTTGTAGTGGGGATCGGTGGGTGTTCAATGCGATGAAGTTTCTGACGGGCGCGCCTGCAAAGATGCGGGTTCCGGTTGAGAAGGTCGTTTGGGTAAAGGAGGGGGAGGGATGGGAGTATGGCTGGTTGGTGAAGGTTTTTGAGACTCCTGGACATACTCCTGGTAAGGAAGTATTTTCTTGTCGTTTGTTGATGCTGTTTTGCTGCATCGTTTTTTTTTCTTTTGCGAATGGACCGAAGATCGGACGCACTGTATAAGGTCACCTCGTCGATCCCCCCCCCTGATTGATGAGGGGCATATATGAAGCGAACGCCAGTTCCCCTATCGCCCAACTTCCATCATCAGTCTGCGCCACCAATTTTTCACACAAACGCGTCGTTGCCATCACCCTCACTAACCCGCCCCTTCCTTCCCCTTCCCTTCCCTTTCCAAAATACACATTAGGCTCGATCTCATTCATTCACACACCCTCCCGCTCAATCATGATCGGAGACGCCTGCAAGAACCACATGTCTCTTTCCAAACAACCCCTCCTCTCCTACCCCCCTTCAAGAGGCACCTGCTACATGGACACCGCCATCCAATCCATGGACAAGATTATCTCTCTCAAGGACCAGGTCGATACTGTCTTCCCAGCACACAACTATAACGCGGATGGGGTGACCGTGCAGGAGATGGAGGCGTTGCGTGCTACTCCGAGTCCTTAGCTAGTTTTTTTTTTTTTTTTTTTTTTTTTTAATAGTTGGGAAGGAGTCTTCTGTTGTATGGTGGTGAATGTTAGTCAATACATGATAGATTTTGCAAGTGTCATTTTTGTTTGCTTGTCTATTTGGAATGTCACCGCGTTGGATACAACCCATATGTCTCATTTCCACAGATCTAGATTGTCTCCTCCTCCTCCTTGTCCCCTTTGTCTTCCCTGCTCTCACCTAATTTCCGGTGCTGCATTGCCCTTTGCATCCTGCGGTCTCACTTTTTATCTCACGCCTCCCCTTCACCTTTTTTTATTTCCGCCTCATCGTTCTTTTGCTCACGCTCAGAGACATAATTTCAGCGATCGTATTTATGTGATATTTTCAGATGTTTTTGGATTTATTGGTATTTTTTTTTTGGTTCTCTTTCAAAGGGAAAAAACACAGCAAACAGAGAACGAAAGAAAGAGAGAGAAGAGGGGACATCTCCAGTATCAGGAAACGCTTTGCCCAATAACGGATAGGAGAGTCCCTTCTCCTCACTGCAAACTAGCTTCTTCTATCTACTACGTTGCTTCTGGTTATTGAAAGAGGACGGGCGGGGGTGGTGGTGGTGGTGTGGTGGCTATTAAGGTACTTTTTGGTAGTGGGAGGAGCGTGAACTTTTTGAAGAGTGGAGGGGGAGTAAACATCATCTAAAGATATGGTAATATGTAATAAGAGGAAAAAAGCAAAGAAACAACCATGAAGGAGAGAGCTCCCACTTTAAAGAGCCATCATGAAGAGGGCAACAACACCGGTGAGGGCAGCAGAGCCAACGAGCTTGGCAGCCGAGTTTCCGGCAGCAGTGGTTGTGGCAGGGTTGGCACCACCAGTAGTGGTAGTGTTGCCATATCCGTCAACGACCAAGTTACCGCAAGCAATACGGGTACCGTTGTTATGGATAACAACCGAGCGTCCGACCAAGGCACCGTTAGCGGGCTCGGTGAAGGACAACTGGTTGTCGATGTAGTGGATGGTGGAGAAGGTGCCGTCCGCGGTGGGGACAATGTTTCCGTGCTTGCCAGAGAGATCACCAATCTCGCAGGAGGTCACGTTAGCGGTGTTGCAGGGAGCGGTGCCGTTGAAGGGGTTCAAGTGTCCGTTGGTGGCCATGCAGCCATAGTTGGGGCCGACGGGGTCGGTGTGGATGTGGTACTGGTAACCAGCGGCCTTGTCGATGGCCATGGCGGTCGAGAGACCCTTGAGGCCGGTGAGGGTGACGTTAATACCGCCTTCGACCTTGTCGAAGGTGAAGTCGACGATGAAATCACCTATTAGTTGTTTGTAGTATAGAGAGGGAGGGAGACGAAGGATTAGTTTGCTTGTTCTTTTTGCCTGTTTTGATTGAGAGCCGCAAGCTTTATTCACCACCACTCGCTCCTTTTTTTGATTGTTTGGAGAGTTGTAATAGATAGATGTCGCACAAAGACATTCACAGAAAAAGGATAAAGGGAGCGAAATGGGTAATTAAAGTGTGTAGTCTGTTTGTTGGTTTTTCTTGTCTGTGTGTCCGGCTGCTGTTGTAAAATTAGAAAACGAGAGGAGGGTGCATATCCTTTTTTTTCAATCGAGAGCCAAAAGAGAAAGCTCTCATTTGTTCGCTCTATTTGTAGGTTCATGATTGTTTGTCTAAACACCCGAGAATTGTGAATTGACTGTGATGGAAGGACGCGAAGGTATCTCCCAGGTATGGCAGTGGAATGGAGGGAATTGTCTCCACGAGAAATAAAAAAGTACTGCTGCCAACATCGCACAAGGAATTGGAGGGAGGAGACGGATGAAAGGCATGCTGTTATCCGAAGCAAACGGACAAACAGACAGACATGTATCGAAGCAACGAGGCATGTTCTCCTTCCCTCTCTCCCTTTTTGCTGTGGTAGAAAACAAACAGAGGGAACTGAGGAATGAACGTACCGTTGAGGTTGGTGACGTGGGCGGCACCGTGCTTGAGGTCAGCAGAGGGGGTTCCCTGGGCAGCGACGAGGCCGGCGAAGGCGAGGAGAGCGGTAGCAGACTTGAAAAGCATGTTGGTTATATGTATGTGTATGTGAGTGGGGTGGTTGTTGGTTGTGTCGGACGAGGACGTAAGTAGAGAGAGGAGAGAGAGAGTAAGAGGGTGAGGGGGTATGAATGAGTGATGGAAGAGTGAAGAGGAGAAAAGAGAGAAAGAAAGAAAGAGGTGAGCATCGGTGGAGGAAGGGGTCCTATTTATCCAAAATTTGCGGTTGGATAGGATGGATACTTCATACTTTACTCTTTCACTGCCTCAATTCAATTCAATTGAAAGCTGTATTCAGTATTTGCTGTATGCACTGGTTTTTGCCTGTTTCTATTATTATTATTATTCAACCTTATTCTGTCTGCCCTACTGCTGCTGCGACGATGATCCACCTCACTTTCCTACTCTCTCTCCTGTCGCATAGCCTTCTTCCTTCTTTCCCCACCTGGATACTTTGCACATCATACATTCGTGCTGCCTTCATTGCCTTTCCACTAGCCTAGTGAGGTACTGCATGTAGGTGGCGGTTCATCCTCTTTCACACATTACCCGCCCAAAGCCCCCTGTTTTTGTCACCTTGACAGTGCGTCCGTTCTTTTTTCCTTCTTCCCTTTTCCCTCTCGCTCTTTGTCGTTCTTTGCCACCCCATGCTCGATAGCAAACAATCTGCAATCGCAAGGCAGGTTGGCAAACAGGGGTTTTTTCTATTATTGTGTCTTGTTTTGGCCACGACTAACATGGTACCAAACGCATTCATGTTTGTTCGTAACCAACAATTGAACAAAGAGGACGAAGAAAGAAGAAGAAAGACAGACGAAGGGCATGACCACTCCTCTCCACCTCTCTCTACAACCCACCCCTACCTTATCCACCAATCCCTCCATCTCCTTCGCATTGCTTGTCTCGATTTCTTTTCTGCTCGTTGTCTTTTCTACGAATCATGTCGCGAACAGATAAATGTACCAGGAATGCGCTTCCTCCTCCTACTCCTTACCCCTAGCTCCTACTATTCTGAATTTATCCATTGGTCACCGCCCGCTGCTTCAGCTGGCGCTGTATCGATCGTATGAAGTGAGATGTATCAAATTCATCTTTGTCACCGCCCATTCGTCGTTTGCTTTCTGCGAGCAAGTGAACGAACGAGGTATTTTTCTTGTCGCGGTTTTTTTAGCGTAAAAAAGCCAGTAGCAAAGAGCAATATAGTACCACATCGATTGAATGAAATAAAAACTCTCGCAACCCCTTCCGCCCATTTTTTTTTCTTTCGTGAAAGTAAAAGCCCCAGCCTGGGTTGACTATTTTGCGCTCAATTGGTTCTTGCTTTTTCTCGATGTGAGTGTGCTGGCTCATTTCTCAAACTCTCCTCTAACCCTATCTCATCCTCATCCTTGTTGGCGTTGGTCGTTCGTGTGCACATACAACAACAACTTTCTTTTTTTATTTTTACACTCACACACACACACCCCATCGATGAACACAACATAAACAAAAAGGCAGGTGAAGGAAATGAACAAAATAAGTAACTCTCCACCACAACCAAACACTTGACCAAATCCCAAGCCCACGCATGAAAATGCCGTTACAATTGTTGATTTGCTTGTGTTTGTGTATTTTGGTTGTTGACAGAAATAATATAGAGGGCTCTCATCTAGCCATCCCCCCTCTCAGTCCTATGGAAGAATGGATTTTTATGATTGCGAATGAGCGGCACATTGCAAGGCGGATACTGAGCAGCGAACGTGAGTAAAATTGAGAGTGGGAGGTCTTTCCTATCTCGACCGCAAACAAACAGGGAGCAGAGGGAGCAGGATTACAACAAAGATCCAAATAGACACCTCGTTGTTTTTTCGTGTGAACCGTAATTAACATTACAAAGGGCTATCTCTCTCTTTTATTAAGCCCTCAAAAATGAGTGCTCTCGTACTGTGCGCCAGACGTCGATGGGTAATGATTCTGGGGAGAGAGGTCTAGGGTGGACAAACCAGAGCTTGTAGGTCTGGCATGCTCCACCTTCATTCATTTTCTTCCTTTCGTAGGCATAGGCGTCGCTTTGCTCTCAAAGCCAACGAGGTTCACTGTTGTTTATATTTGAGTTTTTTTTTTGTTGTGTTTGCCAGAACTGCATTAGTCATTCTCGAATGATAATTCATGCGAGGGTGTCTCCTTTCCTTCGGATGATGATGACTGAGGTTCTCCTTAATTCTCTCCCACCGTTCCTCGGCCATAAACTCTCTCTGTCTTCCCCAGATTCGTGTGCATGAATGACCTCTCGCCCCCTTCCTGTCCCCTCTACCCTCCTTCCTGCTTCCTTTCTGGCCCTTCCTTTGTCCGTTGCGTTTCCAAGGAAACAAGCGAATCAAAGACACCGTCATACCCGGTGAGTTATTCTGACCGACCAATGAGGAATGGAATCACCCGGATAGAAATAAGCTGGTTTCCTGCTGGTGAACCCTCTCTCTCTCTGTCTCTCTCCCCCCACCCCTATCTGGGCAGCATCATTTTGGTGGGTGGGAAAAAGATGTAGGATCCTATGTTGATCGGAGGAGGAGCATGAGGGACACCGGAGGTACCTGGAGAATGTACTCAGACAAACAGGCTACAAAGGAAAAAAAAACCAAAACATTATGACTACTTGCATCTGCAGGTATCTCTTAAGATCGAGGGTTGAGAGAGGCCTTGCAAGGGCAACGCACTAGCAGGAAAAATCTAGTACGCATGCATGCCTTTTTTTTTCAACATGAAAAAAGTGTTGCGCAAAAAGGAAAGATGAGGTCGCATCTCGATCTCTTGAAGTAACTCAACTAAATAAAAAAAAAACACTTCATCTTCCTCCCACAACCCTCATGTCGATTTTTTTTCCCTTTTTGTTCATAATCCACCGAGGAGGCGATTGCAACCAGTGAAAAGAAAAAAAAAGGACAGGAACGACAACGAAAAGGACCTGGGTTGTTGCTGTTGAGAGCATTGAAAAAAAAAAAAAAAAAGCGAAATTGATTCCGGGTTTGGGCGTTGCACAAAACGAGAATCCCCTGTGGAACCTCATTTATGATATAATTCTATTTTTTTCACGGAAGCGAAGACTCTTTTCCATCCGGCAAAACCAGATGACGATCGATTGGATTTAACAAACCACCCCACAAGGAAAGGGGAGGTAAGAGCACCTTAGATGACGCCAACAAGGTCGACAACAACAAGGTAGCGATCTAAAAAGTGAAGGAAAGGGAGTGTGAGTGAAGGAAGAGATAGGGGAAGCGCTGAGTACCCTACCAGCTAGCCAACGAACGATTTGCTTATCAGATCTTTTTTCACCTCACTTTTTTTCCATCCCGCTTAAAGTTCTTTTTTAGCCTAACCAAAGCAAAGAAAGAGGAGATGGACCCCTCCCCTTCTCCGCGTCGGATACAAAAAAACACCCTTGCCCTCTCCTTCCCTTCCGATGCGTCTTTTTATCAAACGTACCCTTTTCTCTTCCATTATTTTAACAATAGATCCTCACGGCAACGCCGGCATGGACGGACGGACAACACGGACCGATTGCGACCCTTTTCTTGTTTCTTGCTCTCACTGCTGCTTTCTTTTTCACATATTACAAAGACCGCTCGGCATACTAACCAATCCAACCACTTGGGCATCTACATAACTAGCCTAAATAAAACCCGCACAACACAAATTGGGTGGCTCTCAAAAAAAAAAAAAAAAAGAGGCAGGAAACTTTAGGTGATGAGAAGGGACAGGTGAAAGGAGGTGAAGAACTAGAACGCGATAGAAAGAGAGTTTTTTCTTCTCGTGTCCATGGACCATGAGGAACTCTCATGTCATCAATTTCATGGGAGCAGAGAAGCATGGAGGAATGGAAGGAAAGACGCAAGGAACGGAAGGAAGAGGAGCAGCAAAAGAAAATGAAAAAAGTACATTTTGCTATCTGATTTCGTTTGCATGTTGATATTCTACACAGAACGCTAGTCTCCTTTTGCTAACCTTAAGCAGATACTTTACTCTACTCAAGCCCCACGAGTTGAAGAAAGTAGAGCCAGGGGCACCATGACGAGCGAGGGAGAACGTGAAGTAAAGTTTTTCTTTCTCAGCATGCTTTCTGTTTTGCTCCCGAGTCATCTTATCAGATGTGCAATTGAGCCACGAACTGTCTTCGTTTTGCTTTGTTCGTCGTTCTGTTCTTCTTTTCTCTCCTTCCACTATGGCAGCCTCATGTTCTGGGACATGACACACACACTCTCTCTCTCTCACACCTCCATTTTCCCTTCTAGGCTTTGGGCACAAGGACACTGTCCGATGTCCGACTTCTTCTTTCCTACACTCTCTCCTCCTCCCATCCTTTCTTGTTTCTCAGACTCGGAATTAGGAGATACAATTTGACAAGTAACGATTGAAAAATGAAGAAAATGCACCGAGCTGCATAACACAATAGAAAATGAGGGTGCGAGGGTGCGCGATTCCCAGAATGTAAAAATAACACCTCTCCATCCTATCCTGTTCACTCTGTTTTGTTTCCTCTTTCCCCTCCACCTTCCAGGCACGTTTATTGTTGTTGTATGTTTTTTTGTGTATGCAACTCTCTGTGCTCACTTTCTCGTTGTTCGTTGTTCCATGGGCTGTTGTTGCTTCTATACCTCAATTGTCATGTCTCGTCAATCCATAGACTCTACTCCTCTTGTCTTCATGTCACACCCTTGTACCATGGCTGGCTGGCTGACTTGGCTCTCAGCGAGATAACCACCTGTAATTTATTCTCCCTTTTGACACTTCTCAATTGCTTTTCTATCTTAATCATATGCACATGCAGCACCCAAGCGAAAGCAACTATCCAAAAGCATACGAGCTACTAGCTATTCTACGCGCTTAGCAAAGTGCATTGCGTGGCATGGCCATGCGAATGCAATTGGCAAACTGCAAGACAAGGCATATAGGCACGTACAGATCATCTTGCCTAGTCTCTTTACTGTTCTTTTTGATATAGAAAAAGAGAGCGAAGAAGCATGGACATGCAGGCACTGCCTCATTCTCTCTCCTTGAACAAATCTTTTTTTTTTCCTCTCGTATCTGCGACATGTAGCTGTAATGTGTGTGGCTGGTTGGTTGGGGTAACATAGGAAGGGAATGGCGCAGAATGCTATGCGTGTGAACTTGACCCAATACCCCCATTAGGGCGACACTGCCCACCTCTCTACCAGCCACCCCTTGCCAGCCTTGAAGGTTTCTCTAGACTCTTCCTTGTCTATTTCTACCAACCAAGCCTCCTCGCCTTCTCCACACGCAGAGAGGTAGTGATCGACTTTAAAGGTATCTCTTAGGGAGGCGAAAATGAGGGACCATGGGGACGAAGGGACAAAATATGTGCAGTGGGTCAGAACAAAAAGCAGGCACCCCAAGCCTCACACACACCTCGCCTCCACTTCCATTACCACAATCCCGCCTCTCACTCTTCCTTATACCCTTTTTACTCCGCCTTTCTAATGTACCTCTCTCATTCCATGCACAATGCTCCCACATCTACACACTGACCAGTTAGTCCAGCGCGAGGTTCTCTACATACCCATAGCCACACAACTAGCTGCTTCTTTTTCTTGCTTTCAGTGCAAGAAGAACCTCTCACCCTCTCATTATCTCTAGAAAACGTTATTTTTACCCTCTCACTCTCTCTAAGAAAACGTTATTTTTGGACACCACCCTTTTCCGCTCTTCCTCTTCCTCCCAAAACGTGTGTTTTCCACACCGGCTAGTTTAATATTGAGAACTAGGCATTCCAACAATACACCATTTACTTTCACCCCCAATCCAGATGGACGAAAAATGCAATTTCGCCCAACACCACTTCACCCACTCACAAACGAGTAGCTATTTCCAGGCGTCATGGAGTGAGAGAGAGACTATTATCACTTTGGCTCACAACCTAGATACAAGTCAGTGCTCAAAACCCCTCCAGTTTTTCTGTTCCCACCTCATTCCAGAGGTTACTCCTTACCCACTTTTCGCCAATATTGCTCAGAAACAAAAAAAAAAACAAAAAAAAAAGAAAGGACATAATCTACAAACCCTCCCTCCCCCCTTCCTTCCGAAATGTATTTTTGTCCCAGTCCTTCATGCATCGGGTTTTGGCCTTTTCCGATCCAGATTTATGTACTGCACTGCGATCGCAATTAGGATTAGGGTAAGGGGCGGGATGAAAAAAGGAAAAAAGCAACAGATGGGGGGTGAAGACTACTTGAACACGGAACAAAGTAAAAACATGAAAGATGGCGTAACAACAAACAAAAAAAAATGCAACATGTAATTACAATAAAAGTTCAAAAAGCAAAAAAAAAAAAAAAGCGATCGTATGAGGTTGTTTCATTTGCACCATTTGACAACTAAGCCATTAGCACTACCTCAGGCAGCGAAGAGAATGAAACAAGGAACAAGAAACTTGGAAACGAAGCTAGAGAATAGACGCTATCTCCTTTGCTTATCTTCATTATGGTTTCTTGGACCCAAGGCTTAAAAATAGGACACCATCATTAGACCAACAGGCAAGGATAAAGCAGTTTGGATATATTTATGAAAAAGTTAAAAATGATAGTAGTAACTACGATAAAAAAAAGTCGAAAAAGATGCTTAATGATCAAGGATGTGGAGGTTGCCAGAGACGACCTTGTTCTCGAGGATACTGCCCGAGGGGATATCGATATGGGACCCCGCATTGGCCACAATGATGACAGTGCCCTTGAGGACAACATCCGATCCAAATGAGACATCTCCTGTCACCGTCAAGTGGTCCAGTTCCAGAATATGAGGGGGGTTCTTGAAGCGAGACAGGAACCCATTGACTTTCTTGAAGTGATCGCCCAACTTGACGAGAGGGACAGTGTTGAACATGCGCTTGGGGTTGATCGACAGCTCGCCATGGGTCAACGAGTACAGGTCCGAGGTCACCAGGAACAAATCAGAGGTTGACTTGACGGGCAAGAACCGGCTACGGGGTACATTGACACCATGGGCGTTATGAAAGTGCTTGATACCGGCACCGACAGCAGTCTCGAGCTGGATGACCTTCTCTCCAGATTCCGTCGTCTTGTTGTTGACAATCACCTCCAGACTCAACTCGCGGTCCTCGACAACACGCTTGATCGCCTTCAAGTTGACCCACAGGTTGTTGGTGTTGAAGATCTTGAACTTTTTGATCGACTTGAAATCCTCCACGTGCTCCGAGGGCACCTGGGCAATTTCGAGCAGACGGATCTGGCCCTCATAGTCGATAAGCGTACCTCCCTTGATATCGGCGCGGGTCTTGTCCGTGACCTCCATCAAGAACTCGGCTTCAGACTCGACCATGTGGTTCAGGATACCCTCATCAACCGTGGCGCCCAAGTTGTCAACGTTCGAAACAAAGACATACTCTTTGCCATCTGCAATCAATTGATCCAGCAATCCCGAGTTGCTGAGCGACTCGAACAAGTCTCCGTGACCTGGGGGGTACCAGTCTGCGATATCCCCGTTGGGGTGGCGAGGGGTAGGCAAGAGCGAGTCCTTGTTGACGCGGGGGTATCTCGACTGGTTGAATGTCATGATCTCGATGTTGTGGGTGGCGTACTTTTGGACAATGCGCTTCGTCTCGTCGTCCGTGTTGAACGAGTTCATGAGGATGAATGGAACATTCACATTCTTTGCCTTGTTCAAGTACTACAAGTTGCGTTGAATTAAGTGGCGTTAGAACCCTGCCTGTAAAATATCGATGTAATTAACATCATTCCTCATGAACCATATGAACAAGAGAGGTTACCTCGATCTGACGAACAGACAGATCCAAGAAGGTCATTCCATCACGGACTTCGATGGCAGACTTGGGACCGACACAGCCCATGGTGGTTCCAAGACCTCCGTTGAGTTTGAGGACGGCGAGTTTGTTTAGGTGGGGGCTGGATTCGACTTTGGGGATGCTGTCGTAGGGAACGACCTGGTCCTCTGGGGGGGAGTTGACCTTGTCCCAGTTGATCTTTGTACCCTTGGATCTCTCCGCCAGCCAGCGGTTGAACAGCAAGAAGAAGTTTCCCATCTCATTTTGGAACAGCTATCATGGTATTAATTGTATGCAGTAAACACATGTTGTGTGAGTGGATGGCGCCTTTGATAGCATCGAAATCCTTTGTAAAGATAGAAAAAGAACCAGTCACATCCAACAGGGCTCAGACGTCATTGTTGCAATGTTTCCATGAGTGAAGAATGCACATCAAAGTAAAGAAAGACAAAGGGTCCTGCTGTTCATCTTTGCATATCTGCCTGTTGCATCGTTGCATCGTGTATTTGTGAACGGTGCATCACAACTCCTTTGCCCTTCAATGGGTCCATTCACTCGGCAGATTATATGACTTGAGCTGAGACAGATCCACCTTCGATATCGGAGGTATCTGTATTTATCCAGGTCGCGCATCCGTTTCTGGCGCCCCTTTCTTTCTTTCTTCTCGAACTCATTGGCGACAGTCTGACATCGTTATGCGCCCATCTCTGTAGGTGTTGTTTGCCCCTGTACCTTTCCTTGTTGTTGTTTGTCGTTATCGATCCTTCGTGAGAAAATTAGATGTCCACACAAAGTAACAGTAGCAAAAATTACCTTGCGCTCGTTCTCGTCCTTGACTTGAGAGATCAGACGGTTGAGCTCTGTACGCATCGCATTCGCAGCAGCCGCACTACTGGCGCCTTGAAAATCCTATGTGACATCATCATTAGTATCGAAGAAAAGTGAGAAGAGGCGTTAGGGAGGTGCCACTATTGCATTATCTCCTATTATTGTAGTTGATGGCGTGTACGTGTGTAATAAAAATGACGTGTGAAGGAAAGCTGTAACCACGCCGTCCTCTGTTGACCTCATGACGGGATGAACACAGAGAAACACAATGCGTCCCCCATGAGTCCCATTATGAGCGAACAAAGTGAGGACGATGACCTCTTCTTCCTGGGTCGTGTAGGCAGAAACCGCACTTGCAACCTCACAAGTGAAGGGTCTGCGGTGAACGTGATGTGGTAATAAAAATAAGGTTCCTTGTTCCGTCGTTCGCATACGTGTCTTGCCCTGGCATGAAAGAAAGGAATGTAACAACTTTACCAGGGTGGAGAGGGTGTGAGGGTGGTGAGGCTGTCCACCGGAAGGGGTTAAGTGTGCCATTGTGTGATGTGTGCTTGTTTTGTGAGAAAAGAAAGTTGTTGGGTGAGTGTTGTTGATTTGGAGAGAAAGATGAGTGAAGAAAAGAAAAGAAGGGTGAGCGAAACCCTTTTTATGCCACCCCCGTCTCCAATCATTAGCCCGATCTGTCCAATGACGCCCCTCCGTGCTAAAATCATGCGGTTTTTTCTTGGCTCCTCCTTAGTTGGATGCCTCTTGCCCTTCTTCGTCTTTCCTCCTTCTTCTTCTTTCCTCCTTCTTCTTCTATTTGTCTACCGTCTTTGCCCGGTGTACTCGTTCCTATTTCTTCATGTAGATTGGCGTTTATGTTCATGGCTGAGAAGAAAATGGAGTGAAAGAAGAAGAAGAAGATGAGCAGGATTCCAAGACGAGCCATGAACCATCCAAAAGTCTCCGGCTCATTCATTTTTCTCTAGGACCCTTGACGCCTTTTTTCTTAGACCAGATAATGAACTCGAACGTAAACAAGAATGAGAGCCGTGTCGGCATGGTTACCATTGCTCTGAGGCGTAGAAAAAATCGGATAATAATAGCACCCATCTGACAATTGGACAACACAGCCGGGGCGTACGGAATGTAAAAAAAGAGAAACTGGAGGCGAGAAGTGAAGGGTCGCCGGGATTTGTTCGGATTGGCGACGCGAAGCAAGGCGCAAGCTCAATCATGTATCGTGGGAGTATTTCGTCTCCTTCTTTTTTGTGTGTCTTTGTCTCTCTTTCATATCTCCTTCCAGAGAGATGCATAAAAGTCGTATTGGCCTGTTCGCTATCATTCCTTCGGTTGCCATAGATAAAAAAACTCGCAGCTTTTTTAATCGATCGCAATCTTTGTCCGAAAATAAAAGAACCCTGCTCGTCGTATGGCAGTCTTTGTTCGCGGCTTGAATGACGTTTCTGCTTCTTTCAATTGAGGGCAAAAGGTGACGGGAAGACAGAGAAAGAGAAAGAAGAAGAGAAAGGTTGAGTTTTTCCCTTTGTTGTTGTTGGGGTTATGTTCGATTGCACGTTTGCACCCTATTTCAAAATTCAATCGCCCCCCTTCCAAATCCAATGGCCCAAGCACGCGCGGGGAAGTGTCGTTCATTGGCTATGAGCAAGAAAGAAGAATGAGCGCGCCTTTATATCCTTTTTTTCCCCTTGTCCTTGACAAAAACGTGAACGCGTCTCTCATTTCTTGTGCTTCGCATCTACGTCTACAGGATCATAATCAATTACATACCTCATCCATCCTCAATATCGCCACACTCACTCGCCTCTACTACACAGCAGTCGTCATTTGTTTTGAGCATCACCATTATGACTATCGGCACACAAAGAACCACTTTTGCCATATGCTTACCGCGACAAGGTACATGTCATGGATCTACCACAGTTTCATCATCCTTTCCCTCTCCTGTTCGTTCGCCTCGATTTTCAGTCACTTCAGGGCAACAAAAAAGGCGTATAAAAAGCCGTTGTCTTTGTTCCTCATCACTGTTAATATCATCACTCCAACGGACCTCTTTTATCCAACGGACCTCTTTTATCCAACGCCCCTTTGACAACGATCATTCTACCTTCTCTTTTCCCTCCCTCTTTCATCCTTCTGTTATTCTTCTGTCACCAATTAAAACAAGAAAAGACGTAAGTCAACTTCCAGCCAAGTCATTCAATTACCATATAAAAAGGGAAAGACGATCGCCTTTCAAAATCACCAACTCATCTCAATCCCCTTCCCTCTCAACGAACAAGAAAAGTTGATCTCGTCCCTACCTAGACATCGCGTCTCATTCTCCCATCTTCGCCACCCGGTCCCTGCAACAAGCAACATTATACAATGGCGCCGAGTAAAAACCCCAAGCAGAAAAAAAGCGCGTCTCCTCCCGCAAGCACCGACACATCTTCTCAGTTAACCACCGCTGCCACTATCATTGTCACTACCGCTCCTGAAACTGCCTCTATCCGTGCCTCTGATCTCGTTACTGCCTCTGGACTTGAACTAACATCTGTCCCTGCCTTTGAACCTTCATCTGAGCCTGTTGCAGCAAAGCCTTCAAAGAAAAGGTCCAAGAAAGACGCTTCAATCACATCTACCCCCATTTCTACAACCACCCCTGCTACCTCCTCCTCCACAACAGCAACAGAAGAAATTGCACCCCTACTAAAGAAGACACGTACCTACGGCAGAAAAAGTGCCTCGCCAGCAGGAAAATGGGACACTCCGCCTGCAAATGATTCGACGGGCGGAGAAAGTGACTCTACCTCTTCTGAATCCGTAACTTCGACTACGGCTGTTGCGCGTTTGACTCCTAGTCCCATCAGGGGGTGGAACCATGCAACTCCAGAATCGATGGCCGCCGCTCAAGGCTGCAGTTCTAGGGGGAAAAGCAGAAACAGCAAAGGAAAGTCCACGACACCACCTGCATCAACAGCAACCGCGGACGTGATGTGTACCGCAACAAATCAGAACGCCACCATCGCCGGCACCACTGACACTACCACTGATACGATTCGCGGGACTACAGGCGACGGTACGAACAGTCCCACCCCCGAGTTCGATCCTGATGCAACAGAAACAGATCCAGATTTAATAGAACCCGATTCCAATTCAGGAAGCGATTATACCCCAGGGTCCGGACAGAATCAAACATCTCTTCCACGTCATCCTACCGGCCCTCCTCGCATTTCTTGTCGACAGCAATTCCAGATCATCAACAACATCAGCAATAACTTTAGCCACGACGATATCGGCATGGTCGGGATGAACTACCCTCTCAACACCGACCCCACCGCCGGAGTGATGTTTCCTTCTGTGGGTCCTACGTTGTACTCATTCCCTCCTCACATTTGGTCTTCGCGTTTCGAAGACCCCAGCAGCAGGAAACGTGGTCCCGATGGCGAAGAGCTGATCTACCCTCGCATTGGCGCATTCCCGCCTACCCTGCGTCCGACTTCTGATTTCTCTCCTTCGTCGTCTTCGTCGTCTTCGTCGGCTGTTACTTCTGTTCCGTTTTTGTCTTTGACGTCGTCGAATTTGTCTTCACAACCTGCTCCCAAGAAACCTTGCCGTAACAGCAGAACCAACTTAATATCTGCAACAACTAATACCACAACGCCAACAGCCGCTACCGGAGCCGGTCAGTCCTCAGGCAGAGTTGGATCCAGTGCCTCTGCAACTCCTACTAATGGAAGAGGTCGGGGTGCATCATCTGCAGCAGGTGCTGGTACCGTCAGGCAGACGGTAAATGCTAGGACCACTAGGAACACGCCCAAAAGTGGAAGGCGGTATCGGACTGGATTGGCTGGAGGGACGACCGCGCAGGGTAATGGTCATACTGTCGCTACCGCCTCCAACAACGTGGCGCCTGGTCACAGCGGCCAAGGCCAAGGCAATGGCAACGGCAACGGCAACGGCAACGGCAACGGCAACGGCAACGGCAACGGCAACGGCAACGGCAACGGTAACGCTATGGATGTTGACGGCGGTAACAGCAGTGGTAGTAGCAGTACCAACAGCAATGTCAGAGATAATAGCGACAACATCCTCAGATACAGAGACGGCCTTATCCGACGCGTCGGGAATCAACCCATCATTGCCTACTCACACACCGCACGACCCGGAATAACTCCTGCCGAAATTGGGGCTTCTCTCTCCCTGGAGCTCATCAGACGCAGAGAGGAAGCTCAGCGACTTCGAGAGGAAGAAGAGCAACGCGAAGAGGAAGAGCGGCGGCGCAATATCGAGGAGGTGCGTAGTAGACTTACCCAGCAGGCACAGCAGAGGTCTCCTTCTGGTACACCTACCGGTCAACAAGAATCTTCCTCTTCCTCTGTTCCTACTTCTCCTTCCACACAGTATACACTTACTCCTGTACAACAAACTCCTCCACCTCGTCAAAGCCCTCAGCAGTATCCTAGGAATCAGAATCTGCTTGCACAATCACAATCATCTACTTCCAGTGGTAATCCAGGTCAAAACCTTCCTTCTCAGCTCTCTCAGTACCACGCTCCTATTCATCAGCCCGGCTGTCATACCCAGTACCAACAGCCCTTACAGCATTACCATCAATCTTCATACTCTTCGCACCATCATCAGTCTTCACAGCAGTACCAGCCCTCACAGTATCAGCGGCCCCTTCAGCTTCAGCACCCTCAAAATCCCGGACCCCAGAATCACCACCAACAATTTAATGTTCATCATTCCTCTTCTTACCAGAGCTTTACGCATCCCTATTCTTCTTCCAATAACTATCACAACTACAACGGCTATGAATTCAATGGTAACTACTACAACGGTAACCATATCAACTACGACCAGCAATACAGCAACTACAACAACCAAAACTATCAGTTGAACAACAACCATCGCAACCAGCAGTACAACAGCTATAACAATTACAACAACTGCAACAACAACAGCTACAACAACATCGCCTCCTCTACCTCTGGCACTATCTTCGCCCAACCTTCTCAGCCCTATGGCTCCTCTCGCCCCTGGCAAGGGTCTCTAGGCCACGGCCTTCATCCCCACCCGAGCTCAAGAAGGCACATTCCGTTTCCACCCCAACTGCCAGATACTCTCTTGGTGAATGCTCATTCCCACCGCTACAGCACCAACACCGGCTTTCTGATGCTCACATCTCCCGCACCCCAAACAATAGCAAGGCCAATAGTATCACGGAATCCTAGGAGCTCAACGCAACACCAGTTCCCAGAGTATGATCAAATGACGCGTGCTTCACAGGCCGCATTTGCGACACTTCCGCCCATTAGAGCGTCAGCGGTTCAGGGGTCACAATTTCAGGCGAGTAGTAATCATGGTCCTACGCCCGTGCCTGTGCCCATGCCTTTTTCACATCCGTCGTCGTCGGCGTCGAGTGGTCATTCGGGGAACATGCAGCAACAGCAGCAACAGGATTCAGCGAGGGATGGCCAGAGCGGGAATCATGAGAGTGGCAACGACGCAGATGACGAGAGTAGCTCAGGATCCGCATAGTGTAGCCCCGCGCTGCCTTTTTTTGTCTTCGCCGCAAACATACTTGAAGTGAAAAATTGACCCGTTCGGCTCCAAACCTATTTATGATTCTGATCGCATGCGCTTCATTTTGATCTCCCCTTTGCCCACAGCTTAATTTCAAACGTGTCACTCTCTTGCATCTCTTTCTTTTCTTTCAACAACACTCACCAAAACTCACACTCACTTCGCCATGGTAATGACCTAACGGTGGAACCCAACAACACAAGAAACGAGCGCAAGAAGCAACAACACCTTTCCCCATGGACGCACTACTGCACAAAGGGTAGCCCTGGGGACCTGTTGTCCTTCCACTTCGGACTCTTGCATGCCAACACTAGCCAGGACCCCACCTACGGGATGACACGTCTCACACCCTCAGCGACGGCATGCACTTCTTTCGCCCCACACCCCACACCCACACCCACAGCTCCTCGACCTCACCCACATATACATCATACTTCACACACAACAGAAGCTGACACTTGCCATCCATCGCTCCTTCTTTACTTCAAAACCATGCTCCATGCATTAGTCGGCCCTGTTCAACTTTCAAAGTCTGCTTCAGGTCATCCTGCTGATGATCTGCACCTGCACCTACGTCCAGTCCCAGACAAGTCTCCTTGACCGCAACAAGACTGGGTACGTTCGCCTTCCTTTTCGTATACAAAACTTCCAACTACCGTATGCATTTTTCAGCACTCACCTGATTCAAGGCACAATAGGCAATTAGACTGACACGTATCTGTTTTTTTTTAGTGTTCTCGGCATCTTCTGGAAGGCAGCAAGGATAGGTACATACGCACAAAGGAAGAATACGCCTTCTGGACCCTCTATCTGTCAGCTTTACCGGACATGAAAATGGAAGCAAAGGATGATCTCACTAACCACCACCTTTCGTTGTTCACAATTAACATGAAATAGGCGAGCGTCTCAGCCCATATGTGTCGTTGGCATGTATCTGCATGGGCATCAGCTTGTTGCTCTCATAAAAGTGAGGAAATGTTCTCTTTTCTCGCACAGGAAGACAGCAATTTAAAAAGGACCAAGGAACATATATCTACAACGACAAATATCACAACAGTAGCATCGAATAAAGCGATTGTGATAGAATACCACTTTTTTTTATTAACTCGATTACAATTCTTGTCAGCATATGCAAGTATGAAAAAAAGGTCGAGGTTAGGGAAGACGGAGTGAGGACGATGCGGTTCTTTAGTTTCAGTAACCAAGACCAACATAGGGAACGGTCAGGAGCGAGGACACTTGATATTTTTGTTGGCAATTTATACACAGGTGTTCCATGTTTTAATTTGGAACCGTCGTCCTTGACTATTTCCATTGAAAAGCAATCGAGGTTCTCGTAGCACCAGCGTGGTCTTTGGTGTTCAATACATAACGATGGCCAATGTGAAAGAACTGAACAGTTTGTCAACCCAATTGTCCACCGCGCTGCAGAATATCGCTCTACACGGATCGTAAGCACGTGACCATTCGAGGAATTCGCACATAAAAAAAGACCCTTTTCTTTTTGTTCGTCCCCTTCTTCAACATCAACCAGTCAAACAAAAAAGGATCGCCAACGACCATGACATTCGTAGTGCCACAACTGCCAGTCAAGGCAACTACCACTGCCGCACAGAGTACAGGAGACAGTCAGGAAACACATGAGCATACGTCAGAATCCACAGGTTCACCATCAACACCAGCAACATCACAAGAGCAGGAGAAGAAGGGTGACGAAGGCGTGTTTGCTATGCCCGCGGCACCTATCAAACGCGCCTCTTCCGAGTCCGGGTCTATGCCACCTCCACCTCCACCATTGTTTCCCAAGGACCAATCTAAAGAATCTTCAAAGCCTAGCAGCGCAGGTATGTTTGCCATGCCTGGCGCCGCCCCCCTTTTTGATACTGGCTCCTAGGCTCTACCTGCTGGAAACTGATCAAGATACTAATGGTTTTCTCGCCTGCGATATCTACAACCTTCATAGACGCCGACGGATCAGCTCCTCCACCACCACAACAGCAACAGCAACAACAGCAACAACCAAGCAAACCCACAGGAGGACCCTCAGGACCACCACCAAACGCACCACCACTGAAATACCAAAAGCCCGCCTGGAGCGGATACCCAAATCAACAATTCTTTTTCGAAGTCATTAAGAACGGTGTCCTGGTCGACAAGATCCAAGCGCCCCTCAAGGAATTCCTGACCATCGGGCGGTTACCCATGTGTGACATCGAGATGGAGCACCCTGTAAGTGTTTTTCTTGCGTTTTTCCGGTACGGTGTTGTTTATCTATAGAGACGGTGTGCTTACTTAATTAACAACCCTTTTTTGTATCCTACTGACAAAAAAAAACTACACCAATAGTCACTGTCGAGGTACCATGCAGTGATCCAGTTCAAGTCCTCTGGTGAAACATTCCTCTACGACCTCAACTCTTCCCACGGGACAAAGCTCAACAAGTCCAACATCCCGCCCCAGATGCACGTTAAAATCAAGCCGGGAGATCAGCTGCGGTTCGGGGAGAGTACAAGGATTTATTTGTTCCAAACGGAGGAGGCTGTTGATCAGGAAGAGGAGGAGAAGGAAGTCGTGAGGAAGATGATTGAAAAACAGAATCGGGAGAGGCCTGCGAGGTCGAAGGAGGAGGAAGAGGAGGAGGAGTTCAACTCTTGGTAAAGTGCAGGGACATGTTTTGGGATTCATGGCTATTTTGTTTAAATTTTTTTTTCATTGGATTGAAATATTAACTCACACATTTGTTGTACGATATAGGGGTATGGCACCAGACGCAGTGGACGAAGATGACATGGAAGACGCTGCTATGATGGACGGCTCAGGACCTAGGCGTCAAGTAGATCCCGACGCATCCTACAGAAAGGACCCCAAAAAGGCCCTCAGGCACTACCTTGAATCCAAGGGTTACAGTTGCGAATTCGAGGTTGAAGAATCAGGACCTGGCCACGCTCGTGAATATACTGCTCGGATCCGGTTACCCATCGAGACGAGTATGGGACCTGTTTATGGAGAGGCTACCACGGGGAAGAGGAAGGATGCGGAACGCGAGGCGGCGTTGGATGCGTGCATTCAGTTGGATTCTAGGGGAATGTTGAGTAATAATAGTAAGGGTTCTAGTGAAGGTAAGAAAGCAGGAACTTGGAAGCGAGGGTCGCTTGATGGTTTGATATGTATGGAAACGAATCATCGTTCACATTCGCCGTTCGTCAAACCCACGCGTACTTTATATATCTCCAACCTTTCTTAGGATCCTACTCAAGGGCGCAGAAGGTTGAAAACTCGGACGATGACGATGACGACTTTTATGACAGAACTGGTAAGTTTTACATTGAAACCCCCCTGTTCTGAACAATGAACTCCTCTTTTTTTTTGTATTCACCTTCTTCAAACCTCATCCGCACTTTCCTCCCCTTCACTCCCATTTTTCCCTATCAAAAATAGCAAAAAAGAAGAAGACAACCACCAAGAAATCTGATCAAACAGCAGACACACACGACTCTCTCATCCAAAAACAAACCGCCCTCCTCTCCCAAATCTCCGCCCTCGAAACCCAGATCCAGAACTTTGACGCTACAGTCGCAGCTCGCAAACAACTCGAAGAGTCCGGAGACCTTGACGCCTACATGGCTTCTCTCGAGAAGGACAAATCTACAGGGAAGGAGTCAAAGGGAAAGCTGGTGCAGATGTTGGCGGGGATGCGGAAGGAGGAGAAGCGGTTGGTGATGCTGATTGAGTATACCAAGCCAGTTGATATTTTGGCCAAGATCGGACATGGCCCTGGCACTGCAAGCGCGACGAAAACTCAACAAGAACAGCAACAACCAGCAGCAGCAGCAACTGCGAAGCGGCACAGTGAAGCAGACAGCACTCCAACAACGACAGAAGTCAAAAAGCCTCGTGTTCTCGGACCATCCCTCCCTCCTCCTTCATAACTCTTACTCAGTAAAATAAACACCCTTTCAAGAATGCATTGCGAAAAGGGCTCAATGTGTTTTTTTTTTTTTTTGGTGACATTTCTTTTTGTTTGTTTGTTTGTTTGTTTGTTCATACTCCGTATACTATTGCATAAATCTATCTTATGCCTTGACCTCCTCGACATAATCAGGGTTCTTCTTCAGGATCACAATGCCCTCCAGGATAGGTGCCTGGGACAGGTATTCTTCTGTCGACAGCTCGGCACGCTCAGAGTAGGCCAACAGCACAGGTGTAGAATGTGTCTGGAATCCTGTAATAGTCTTGGGTCGACCAGCCTGGCCGACAACATCGACAGCCTGACCCACACGGACTGCAACAGCCTCGGACTCGAGCTCCTCGTTCAAAGTGATCAGGAACCGTGGGTACATGGCCGTCACGAGCGAGTAGAGGAGGTAGTGGTGGCGGCCCAGGATGAGTGTCTTCACATCTGTGAAGGCCACCAGTGTTGTCAACAGACCTGCCACAGCGACGTTTGACATGATCTGGCGGTCGGTGTTCAATGGGTTAATCGTCAACGTTCCCTTACCCATATGCAACAGACCCTATTAGTTATTAAATACAAATCACAACATCATGTTAGCTCGCTGGCAGCCTTTTCAACCAACATCAGCATGTCAAAAGGTAAGCAATAAGAATGACAACGTACCTGGGCGATGCGGACGACGAAGAGACAGCTGGCGTCCTTGTGGTAATAAGAGGCAAGGTGACGCAACATTTGGGCGACACGGGCGTTGTTGGTTCCAGCACCAACCATACCCATGGCAAAGATTGAGTTCAGAGCGACCTCAATATCGGTATCGTGCGAGTACTTGCCAAGGGTATCCAGGACAGAGAGTACAGGGTTGGACGCGCAGAGGAGACCAATGGCAAGAGGAACAGCCTTGCGGATCACTGGCTCTCCATAGTGCATCAAGTGCGTGAACGACCTCAATGCCATCTCTGCTCCAATATCCTCTCCAAGAGCAATCAAGGCAATACCAATGACAGCAAAAGCCTGGAACTCGTCATCAGCGCCGCTCTCGCTGTCAATGTGGTCGTTGCAGTAGTGGAGCATACGCTGAATGTGAAGAACGTCACCAGAGCCGGCATATGCGCAAATCTCGACAATCACGCTCGTCTTCTTGGCAAGTGGGTGCTCAACAGCCTTCAAAGTCTCCAACGTTACATCGCACTGTCCGCGCGTGCCTATTTTTCATTAGAGACAATTACAAAAAGGTTAGAAATTGATGGACAGGCCAACAAAACATTATTTCCACTTGCTGTAAGCCAATACTGAGAGACATACCGAGGTGGAGAAGTCCGAGACCGAGACCCATGAAGCGGCCAAAGGTCTCGCCGAGCTGACCGTCAGCGCGCTCGAGCATGGTCTGAAGGATGGTGCTGGTAATCTCTCCATCACAGGTGCCGACAAAGATCTGTCCTAAAGCCAAGGCAGCAAACGAGGCTAACTCCATGGCGAGATCAGGATTACTGACAATGGGCAACAGCAACTCTGAAAGCTCCTCCCTTGCAGAGCCGGCATAGGCGAGCCCGAGACCCTGGATGGCAGCAACACGGTTGGCGACCGACTTGGAGTCCTCCAAGTGCTCCGAAAGGACAGCCAAGGCGGGGTCAGCCAAGTTGCGGACACCCGAGTTGACAATACCGACGGCAAGCAAAGCTCCTGCCCTGATGTTCTCATCCTCCGAGTAGATGTACTTGTCGATCTGGTTGAGACCCATGTCGACATCCCAGAGCAAGAGCATGCCCAAGGAGGCAGAGGCACTCATCATACCGTGATCCTTGTTCTTGAAAATCCAACCACCATCGTCCTCCTCGGGAAGCATCAACTTGTCAACTCCAAATCCGGCATTGACGAAAGCGTTGACGAATGTAGAAGCCAAGTTCTGGCGAGCAGAATCAACCTGTGCGGCACCAGCTGAGCCTAAAGATGGTAGAGAAAATGGTTGACAATGTTAGTCAATACAACCAGACATGGAAAAAATGTTTCTGTGTCGTGATAAAATCAGCCAGAGACTTACGCTTGTGCTCGAGGTGAGATTTGTAAATGTCCTCAGGGGTCTTGGGCTCCATGAGATCAAGTTCACGGGCGAGGTTGATGAAGTGAGTGGTCAAGTGGGTGTTGTTGATGCAGTTCTGAAGGTCCTCATCCTCTGTCTCGACAAAGATCTGCTGCCTAGCAAGCATAAAGGCGAGCTGCTTCTTCAGGAGACTAAAGTGTTACGAGGTGAAATCAAAGATATGAAATATTAGTCGCAGCGCACGGTGGCAATTACCAAGCAAATGAAGCTACTTCCAAGAGACACCTACGGATCCTCGCAGCTGTCGAAGAGACTCTGGATAAGGGTCTTGTCAGACATGCGGATAGCAATCAACAGTGCCTCAGCGTATTTGCCGTGCTTCAAGTAAATGTCGTATGTTGTGCGTAAGCAGATGGCATCATCTGGGGACTCCAAGTAGTTCACACAGCTACATAGTTGGACGTAAAAGAAAGAACATGCCGTTAGCGTCCATCGTCTTATGCACATTGAACGTCTTCTATGACAATGAACTATCCCAGTATTTGTCCAAATGAAAGTACCCTGCGATGTAGAGGCAGACGCGCTTGTACGAGTTCTTGTCCACAAAGCCCACCAACTTGGGGACAATGTCCAACTGCAACAACATGTCAACAGCATCTGCCTCGGCGTTGTGAGCCAAGAAAAATGGTGCAACCTCCAATGCAAGCTCGATAAGGTCCTCTGTCTCAGCATCCTTCTCCTGACGTCTGTTGTACTCCAGTCCAATCTCAGTCGACAAATGTCTATTGTTTCAAGCCAAAACGAAAACTTGGTCAGAAAGCTGCTTCGAGCACTTAATGTAGACTTAGCGACGATAACTGATCGTAGAAAAAGAAAGGATATCTGTACCTGACGTATTCGTGACCCCATGATCCGATGGCGTTCTTTGAGCCCACCATGCGGTACTTGAGAGTATCCAGTTTATCGTCGTCATAGGTCATGGCCAAGATCGAGAGAATATCAGCCAAGAAATGCTAGAAAAAGTAATCCAAATCAGAGGTGTCATTGTCAGCAACAATGCCGCACGTCCAGAATCGTTCAATTGAATGCGAAGCTAATAGAGCCCGACAACAACTCACCTTGTCTGCGTTGTCGGGCCACGAGTCGTGGATGGTGACCATGTCGGGGTAGAGGGGGCGCAAGTACTTCAATGGCTTAGGGACAGAGGTCATGGAGCTGGTCGAGGTCAAGATCAGGGTCCGGAGGGTCTCCAGCGTAGGGTTGTAAAGCTTGGTATCGGACTCCTGCAAGTTAGTGAAAAAAGTAAGGAAAGGGGCGCGTAAAAGACGCGTCAGCTCGGGATGTTCTTTTCAAACCACAATTACAAGGCGTAGTGCAGATCAGGTTCTTGGCTTCGTTACCTTCAGTCTCTCAATCAGCATCTCGAGCTGGGTCTTGAGCTCCTGATCCTCCTCAGACTAGATATAATACGAAGACGAGAAGTGTTAGCGGATCAGATACCCTTGCAACTAGTAAAGCATGGTACGCAAAAGTAAAAAAAAAAGTAAGAAGTGTGCCGTACTAACTCCTCCTTGATAGGAGCATCCTTGAGTTCTTTTGGCGTCTTCTTGAGAGGTTTGTCCTCCTCCATGGGGGAGTTATCTGCGGCAGGCACTCGAATGGCGACCTCTTTCTTTTCAACCATGGCGACTGGCTTCTACTTGTTTCTTGTGAGTGTGTGTGTGAATGTGTTTTGTTGTCGAGAAATGCGAGTTGTTGTTGCTGCTTGTGTTCGTTGTTCTCGCTGTAGGGTTGCAGGTCGGTGTCTTGTCTTTCCTGCTGGGTTGGTTGTTGTTGGCTGAGTGATGTACGTAGTGGTTGAGAGAAAGAGCAAAATGAAGAGGCGTGCGCTTTTGGGCAAAAGAAACGTAAAGTGAGGACGAATGCAAAGAACGAACGGAGAGAGGCGACTCGTCCTCCTTTCAGACGCTTGCGCCTTGTTCGCAAGTGCGAGGGTCGCGTCAGCTCTTTTTTCATTCGCAGTAAACGCGATTAATTTTCCTTCTATTCTGTCATTCCGACCGAACCTAAATGTGTTCGGCAACAGAGACCACAGAGACATCCTCCTCCACCTTCCCTCGACGAGCAAGCAAACCCGCCATGGCATCAACATCAGGACTAACAAGCGCAGCCAAGAAAACACTCAGCGCCGTCACTAGGATATTGTCTCCATCAGCACCTGTTCCCTTCATCCCTGCAAAGGCTTCCTTCCGACCCCAGCTGACTTCAACAAAAACCAAGGCAACAGCTTCACCTGCCAGTGTGACACAGGACCCATCCTCGATATCCGGCCTCAAGTTCTGTCTTCACATGGTCCTCTTTGCAGCCCCAGGAATCGTCCTTTCAAAGAAACTTGCCGACGGCGAACGCGTCGAGGATATGGTGGAAGAGGCCAAGACAACCTACAACAACCTCGTCAACAGCCTTTCATAACCCAACAGTCTTTCTTAACAACAGCATGGCTCGTCTTTCACTCTCTCCCAACGAAGTTGTCGAGATACTGCAAGGTCCCTTCTGCACACATCAGATTACCTGCATCCCTCAGCGACCTCATATACCCGAATCGGAAGCACCAGTCGACAATCTAGAATAAAAACTTTGTATCCCTGCATCATTTTATTCGTCTTCGTCGAAAAAAGGGGAGGTTGACTAGATAGTCGAAAAGGCGTAGACGGTCTTGGATTGGTACTTGTCACCAGATCGGATGATGACCTGGTCGCGCCAAGCTGGGTGGTTAATGGCGTCAGGAAATCGGGATGCCTCGAGGCAGAACGCAGAGTGCACCACATACCCGCCCTTTGCTTTTCCAACATGCTGAAATCCTCCGTCCGATCCCAGATCCAAAAAGACCTTTGCAGTGTCGATCAGGCCAGGCTCTAGGTGCACAAAGTTGGCAGTGTAAAACTGAAACCCTGGGTCGGTGGTTGACATTTCCAACTGGATGCCAGATTCGGGCGCATGGACTGTGGCCAGGACCAGAGGCGTCGTGCGGTTAATATCCTTGCCGAGGTGGTACTCCTCGGGTCGCTCAATGGCTTGCTGGGCAGGGTAGAAATGATCGTACCCGGCGCCGCCTGGGGCAGCAAGGAGATCTTGGCCGATGGTCTTGGCATTGCGAAAGTCCATGCTAGAGTCCTGGTCCAGGGGCACAACAGTTCCAGTCGGGGCAGAAGTCTCGTCGAGTTCAAGAAAGCTGGCAATATGAGTCGTCCGGAAAACGTGATCCTTGACTTGGCTGGGGTTGCCTGTGGAGATGGGCGCTGGTACCCCGTGGAGGTTGAAATACGCATGGTTCGTCAACGAGACAATCGACACCTGACGGTTGTCGCCAGCGTCGTCTTCCAGGAACGCCTCATACGAGACTTCGAGAGCATGGTTGTAAAGACGGTAGGAGCAGAGCACACGGAGACGTCCAGGAAAGCCTTGGTCCATGTGGTTCGAGAGCACGCTTAATTGGAGACTGGTACCAGGGGTTTCGACATTGCCGAGGTCAGGAGTGAGGGTGACGTCCCAGATCCTGAACGCGAAGCCGTCAATGCCTCCATGAAGTGAGTTTGGTCCGTTGTTGGCATCCAGTCGATAGACCGTCTCTGGGTCATCTGGCAATGCGAACTGTGCTTTAGCGATTCTACAACACATACAGCATGAATACAAGAGAATAGCATAGCGTGAGAATATCGTTCAGTAGATCCAGTTGCCCTGCAATAAATCAATGAAGAAGGGTCTCACCTGTTGGCTGTTCTGCCGACGCTGGCGCCAAAGTAAGGATCGTATTCGGTGCGGTATGCAGTCATGTCATCGAATCCCAAGACAACGTCTCTAGAGTGGTTCTTGCTATCGGGCACCCAGAGATGGGTCAGAGTGGCGCCGAGGTTGGTGATCTGACATGCCATCCCTGGCGAAGACTTGTCGGTGAGGATGAAGGAGCGAATTGGGGTGTTGACTGGTAGCAGGCCTTGTCCTTCCTTGCTGAGGACCTGGGGGAGTTCGGTGATAGTCATCTTTGTTTTGAGGGGATCTGTGTAGGTGTAGGAGGTAAAGGAGGAGTAGTGAAGGTAAGAAAGAGGAGGCGGAAAAAGGTAGAGAAAACAAGTTATGTGGGTGTTGGATTGTTCTTATCGAGATAGGGCGTGGGATTTGTTGTGTTGCATTGATCGAATATGAGGTTTTCTTTTCATGCAACTCTGCTCTGGTGCTGCTCGCTCCCCTTTCTAATCTTTTGGTGGCGTTTGAAAAGCCTTGTAGCATAAGCGATCAAATTATTTCCTGTCCCTGCTTTAACAATCGCTGTGATTTCATTTGTGTGCTCTGCGGCAATCGAACAAGTGGCGTACCTTCTCTCTCTCTCTCTCCTCCCCTTTTCCACCTGTTTCTCCACTCGACCAAACACACTCCGACATTCCAAGAACAGCATCGCCTGCAGCCAACGTCAAGCTAGCCCACAACAAATCACAACAACACCAACACACACACACACGACAACACACACAACCACACGACAGCACCCACAAACACAAACAACAACAACGACCATCTACCAGCAACCGAAAACTGGAATCGCAACTGTCGCCACCATGCCTCACGACGTCCTCGAGATGGACGGCTACGAGTCCCTCGAGTCCATCGGCTCAGGATCGTTTGGACTGATTCGCAAAGTCAGAAGAAGGGCCGACGGCAAGGTACTGACTTATACAATCACAACTCTAAATAGACAAACCATAAACAACAAACAGGGCGGCTCTTCAACTAACCAACTCGCGCCTTGAAAACTCATATCTATCATAGATCTTGGCAAGGAAGGAAATCGACTATCGTAAAATGACGACCAAGGAAAAGGAACAACTGGTAGCTGAAGTCAACATCCTCAAGGATCTCAAACACCCCAACATTGTCCAGTTTCTGGAACGAGTCATCGACCGGGAACATTGCTTCATCTACATCCTCATGGAGTACTGCGAGGGCGGCGATCTTGCCGCGGTTATCAAGCGCCACAGAGAGAGTTCGTACGTTCAGCATTGCATGTGTCTATCTGAACAAGGCAAACTGAGGACAAGGACAAGCACTAACCATGCTGTTGTCCCTTTTCTGAATATTTAGGACGCCTATACCCGAAGAGTTTGTCTGGAATATTATGGTCCAGCTGATTATGGCCTTGCATGAGTGCCACCATGGAACAACGACAAACGAGGAGACTCACCAGGTCACCCCGCGACCTATCCTTCACAGAGACTTGAAACCGGATAATGGTACCGCAGCAGTTCTGTTACTTTTCGAGGATGAATACTCAGGAACTATGCTTTCGCGAGACTCGGTCCCAACTAACAATCAACACCATCATCTCGACGCGTTTTGTACTATAGTGTTTCTGGATGGCAAGCACAATGTTAAACTAGGCGACTTTGGACTCTCACGATCTCTCACTAACCCACAGAAGGCCTTTGCGCAAACCTACGTCGGGGTAAGGAAACACTATCTTTGTCTTACTACTTGTTAACCATCAATACGCGACGACGATTAGAACCTTCCTGTTGACATGGTCTTACATCTTTCCTGTACCTTATAGACCCCATTCTACATGTCGCCAGTAAGTCAGGATTCGATGCACGGATAATTTCGTCCGCAGGCTAACATCGAGTGTTATCAACAAGGGAATTTGATCTTTGATATTAACGATGGTGGTCGTCACTCATTTTCCGATGTGTGCCATTAGGAACTGATCGGCGAGTTCACATATGATGCCAAGTCTGACATTTGGTCCCTGGGCTGTGTCATATACGAGTTGTGCGCTCTGCAGTAAGTCTTTTTATTGTAGTTTGCTTAGTTTGTGTATGGTACATAATCCGTGGATACTCACTCAACCTTGGTTTCTTTTTTACAGGCCACCCTTCTTGGCTGATACTCAGGCACAACTTTCCGCAAGGATCAAAGAAGGCAGGGTTCAATCACTACCAGGAAACTACACACAGGAACTGAACCAGATCGTGAAGTGGATGCTTCAAGTCAACGTAAGTCTACAAAGTCAGCCTAAATATCTGTGTCCAGGAATGAAGGGATGTTTAGTGTGGGAAAAGGACTAACGGTGGTACTGCGTTGTTATATCAATTAATAGTCACGGAAGCGACCTACAACAAAGGAGCTGCTCAACGACTCTCAGATCAAAAAAGTCCAGAGAGGTTTGGAACTGACGCGCAGGTAAGAGACATTGCAAGCTCAAGCCATTGTATTGATATACTCCCTGTCAGCCGGTCGTTTTTTAACATGGCAGTACTTATCATGCATTATAGGACTGAGGATTTGCAAGTGAGGGCACAATTGCAAGCAACGAGAGAGGCTGACATTGCTGAGAAGGAAGCACAGTTATCGCGGGTGGAACGGGATATGCGGGCTAAGGATCAGACTCAACGAGAGCGAGAGACGGCTCAAAACGCGAGGGAAGAGACATTACGGAACGCAGAGGAGGTATTACGAAGCAGGGAAGCGTACCTTTTTAGCTGGGAGCAGAAATTAATCAAGGAGCAGCAGCTTCTGGAGGAGAAATACCGAACACTACAGGAGCAGGAGAAGGCACTTGTTCTTGCTTCACGGAAAAGTCTCTCGAGTGGCTCGTTTTCGACCGAGGCGATGATGATTGACAGCAAGAGCACCTTCGACCTACACTCCGCCGCGACGACTTCTTCCAACTCGACTGCTATGGACACCAACGGCACGAACGGCATTGTGAACAAGTATACACGGTCGACAGGGCACACATCCAAGCCCACATTATTCGCTACGAACCACAAGACTACCGTACCCACATCCAATTCGTATCCGGCTTCCGCGCTTTCGGCATCAGTAAACTCAGCCCCCAAAGGAACAATGGAGAACACAACGCTGGCAGGCGAGGTGGGTGGTACGACACGAGCAGCGCCACGACGCAAAACGGGACTCAACGTCGGTCGCCATTCTCTACAAACCACGAACGCCTCTCGCACAAGGACCTCGAGTGGACTCAATGGTACTGGGACGACATCACACACAGGCAGCGTCGACACACAGGAAAAGGGCGGTTTGTTCTCTGGTGGACAGACTTCAAACAACCCGGTCATCACGCAACCAAGACCCAGCTCCGTCTTTGCGTCCTTGTCTTCTATTGACAACACGTCGAATCCATCGAAGCAGTATCAGGGTCAATCATATACCTTCCACCACGGCGTTGCAGGCAAGGAGTCGAGGCTTTCGGGACGGCCCAGTCTTGCGGGAAACACAGGATCGGATGCGCCAAGGTTACGAGCCAAAGCCAAGTCTACTTCCACATTAATCGCAACGTTGTCGTCGACCACATTATCGGGAGCAGGAGCAGCAACATCAGCCGCACCACCGACATCATCTGGCAACACCGCAGGCAATCACACAAACAACCCTTTCTTTGTTTCAGACACTGGAAAATCTACAACCATCACCACCCTTCCTACCGCGACGACGACGACCACCGCCAGCTCGGCCGCGGACCAATCTCAATCTAATATTACCTTTGGCAACAACTCCAACGCGACATTCTACTTTACACCGTCCGTCACTCTTTCGTCCATCCGCATGCCTCCACACGACTTGAATTCAGAGTTGTCGGATGTGCAAATGGGCGAGTCTGCTGCGGAGCCACCAACGACAGCATCTTCATCGTCCACGACAACGACAAGACTTTCGTCAGGCACACCGTCAACTGTCAATGGGCATTTGAGAACTGGTACCTCGCAGACCAATGGAGTTTCTTCTGTCTCTTCCTCGTCAGCAGCATCAGGAGCAACGGTGGTTACTGCAAGTTCTGCAGCCTCGTCGTCATCGGCGGTCATGTCAGCACCACAACAGGCGTTCACGTCGCGGCGATCGAATACCTCGGGCATCGCCGCGTCCATGGGCCTCATCCGATTCCAACAGCAGCAATCTGGAGGTTCTCCAGCAGTGACGAATGGCGCTACGACGGTGACGATATCAACACCGGCAATCGGCACATCTACATCACAAGCGACGGCGTCTACATCCTCTGCTGCTACTGACTCGGCGGCTGGAGGAGCGCTTGATACCAACAACTTGACCACGACGCCGGTCAAGTTCCATATTGGTAGTGGCAGAGGTGGGGGAGGTGGCGGTAGTGGCAATGGTGAAAGACCTCATACTTTGGGATCTGACAGGTTCTCGCGGGATAGGACGCCACCGCCCAATAACATTAATCGCTATCATAATCATCATCACCAATCCCAACATCATCAACAACTCCAGCAGCAGCAGCAGCAGAAACAACAGCAGCAGCAGCAGCAGGGAGGAGGTTTTTACCGGGACGATGACAATGACTTGCGGATGGAGTGGGATGGCGACATCCCGAGCCCGTTTATTAAGAAGACGTATAACCGGCCATTGGGCGGTGCCAGTGGTGGTGGTGGTGGTGGTGGTGTAATATCGTCTTCAGCTCCACGTAATCTTTAATACAACCCTTGTTTTTTCAAGCCCGTCTCTGTCTGCTCGTTTGTTAATGATTAAAAAAACAGCTTTCGAAAGATTATTTCAATATTTTTTATTGAGTGCTTCTGTGGGGAAAGATTGTGAACACTTCACTACTGAGTCTTTACCATCAAAATGTTTAATGAAAGAAATGAATGAAGAGGGGAGAGGAGAGTGAGTGAGTGAGTGGGGGGTATGAAACATGAAGAGATAAATATAATGGGGAAAGTGTCGAAAGAATCGCGTCTAGAGAGACGAGTACTCCTTCGAATAAAAAAGAAATGAGTAATGGAATGATAATATTAAAAAAAAATGACTTCGATAGTAATGAGATGGTGAAGAAGAGTGGAAAAAAAATGTTGACCTCGAAGAAGAAAGTTGTGGCGACTATATATAAGGGGGCGGATCACCAGGGGACAAGAGACGTGATAGAACGTGTCATTCAGCCTCTCGCGCCGGAACGTGCGTTTTAGCAGTGCTTCCGAAAAACCACCAAACATCTTCGCTTCCTTGTCTCCCAACCTTCGACCTCTCTCACTTCCCGAGTATGTGCTGGCGGTGCTCCGAAGGGGTGGGCAATGATAGCTCTGGCTGGTGTTGCTGACTGAAGAAGGCGCGATGGTCGATATCCAAGGGAGGTTTGGGGCTATAATAAGCGACCGGTGATACTTCCAGTCTGAAGAGGATGAAACCGCGAGTCCTTATCACCCTCACGATCATCCACAACCGACATCAGCTTGTGGCTGCTACCACCATCAAGTCCGGCAACACCGCCATAGTCACCAAAGGGTGTCTCGGGAACTGCAGAGACAGATGAGGATGTGGACTTTGATGAAGGACCAGCCTCGATCCCGTCCATCCTTGTTGTTGTCGTCGTTGCTGTTGAGGATGAAGATCCGGCGGGGGTACTGGTGGTTGTGGTAAGTTCTGAAGAGGGGGATGCAGAAGACCAGCTGCTGCCGTAATGTGACATTGAGCCGCTGGCGCCGGTGGCAGGTGGGGCTTCTAGGAGGGATCCTTGGTGCTGTTGAAGTTGATGTTGTTGGTGATGGTGGTGATGGTGGTGGTGGTAACCCGTGGAAGACGAGTACTCCATCAGGGTAGGGCCTTGCAGGTCTGACCCATCGACAGTGACGCTGGCCTTGGGGCCCGAAATCCCGTCCCAGGCATTCATCCTGTTCGAAATCCCCTGGATGGTCTCAGATGTAGGAGACAACAATAGGCGGAACGAAGACGAGGTTTGATGCATGGGGATGGGCGACGTGGGGACCGACGAAACCAAGGAGGGTGGCAAGGCCGGCGAATGGGGTTCAGACTTGGCCAAGTATGACGCTACAGCTCCCGCGGCTCCAGAGTCAATTGCCCAACCGCCAGACGAATGTGCACCTGACAGGGCTTGTCCCACTGAAGAGGTATTGTTGGTGGGTGTGGAGGCGCCGTAGTAGCCAGGCGCCCCTTGGGTCGTCCTGTTGATGATGGGCAGAGAATCCAATCCGGGCGTCATGAATCCTCCCATCGGCATCCCATAGAATGGCCGAACATTCGAATGCCCTCCATCACCACCGTTGAGAGCCAACTCCAATGTCTGCTGTTGTTGTTGCTGTTGAAAATCCATGGATCCTTGAGGCTGTGAAGGGATATGCTGGTTCGGGAACTGTTGTTGGACCAAGTTCAAGTACTGTCCTCCAGTCATCGACATCTGCCCTTGGAGCGCCGAAAGCGGTGTCGAGACAGCGACGAGTCCCAGCCCCAAGTTGGTATCCAGTGGTGGTTGTTGGTTAGGAGAATCTGGTGTGGAGTACGAAGAAGGAGATGTCGAGGGGTCGAATCCTAGCGCTCCGGCGTGGAGGTCAAAGTGCGGGAATGACCCATTGGGGTCTTGTTGCAAAGAGTGCGTGGTATGTGGTTGGTGCGATTGTTGTGGAGGCTGGTGATGGTGCGACGATGGTTGGAAGAGTCCCTGTGGGTACTGTGTCTGGCCCTGTGGTGGACGGTCCTGATGAAGGAAGGCTCCCACGCCGCAGTATCCACGTCCGGACTGATCCGCAGAAGAGACTGTTACGCCAGCGGAAGAATGAGGTCGACCGTGCGAAGATCCATCCAGAACCATGGTGGGGTCAAATCCATCTATGGAGACCTGAGGAGATACATAACCCGGATAATACGACTGATCGTACCCGGGTTCGAATCCTCCTCCTCCATTGCCAGATCCACCTTTTTGATGCCCACTACCAAGGTTCTGCTGTCCGGCCAGGAGAACGTTAGGATCTCCCATGGCACTCGAGACCTCGATACTGGAGGGGTTCAACCCGAAAATCTCCAAAAAGGTGGTTGTAGAGATCTGTGGTGGGTCCATGGTCTCTTCTCGACCCTCCGAGACATCATCCTCAGACACGACGAGTCCTCCCTTCGAGTTGAGTCGACGTCTTTGTGCTCGCTTCTTGCTGCTGTTATTGTTGTTGCTGTTACTCGGCTGCCCATCCTCAGATTCATCCGCCTCATAAATCGGCAGGGAGAGTTCCTCCATCATCGAGAACCCGAACGGATGTTGGTGGTGATCCATCATCTCCTCCTCGTCGTCTTCATCAAACTCAAGCTCCGACGTGGGCGGTGAGTAAGGGTGCAAGATCTCCAGCCAGGTCTCAGATCCGTTCTTGGTCTCGACATGGTCCTGGACACGAATGTTGTAATATCGAATCCAGACTCGCTCGTCCATATACGCCAACTTCAACTCCAAGTGGTCACGTCCTGTTCCTGCAGCCGCTGCAAACCGGTCCTGCTCAGACCCCTCGTTTTCCGACAAAGAATCCAGCTCTGGCGCAACTCGAGGGAGTCGATAATAATGCTCACCCATTCGATGTCGCATCATCTGCTTCATGCTCTTCACAAGGCGATCGCGAGCAGTGCCCCGGACAATCAACTCTTGCGTCAACAGTTCCGGTCGGTAATCATCCGACATCGTAAACTTGTCCAAATCTGCTACCGTTTTCCTGAACGCCCTCGTGCGCCTGTACTGGGACTTGGCTTGGGCAGAACTGACATGGCTCGCAGCTCCCGAGGCGAGAGGTGTGCCTAGACTGGCGTTCTTGGCCGTGAGACTGACATTGAGGGCGTGGACACGCTCGGCTATATGTATAGCACAATCAGCCTCGTTATGGCATGCCAGCCACTCGGGGGTCGTGCGCAAGAGATGTTCAATCAAAAAGGTAATTGCTTCGGCGGCCTTGGTACAACTGTTGAGGAAGGGCGGGGCAGGTTTGAGGGGCCAGACGGTCCCGTCGTCGCTGACGGAGGATAAGTTGGTCACACTGCTAGTAGAATAAGATCTGGAGGTAGAGCTTGATCTCCTGGACCGAGGGCTCTTGATAGAACTTGTGCTTGAACGCGTTTTGGAGTTTCGAACGGGTGGCTGTGCGGCTTGATCGCGTTTGGATTGGCCATGTGTATCGGCCAGGATCAGGAAGGGGTGATGCAGCAGAATCAAGACCTCGTTGAAGATCAGTTGCAACATCGCTAATCAAGTTGAAAGGGGAATAGATACTTATCTTGTCAGTTTCAAAGATAACATTGTGATTGGCGAAGCAGCAATATGCACATTTGATCAGTGATTTGATCATTGACAAAATGGTTAGGGCATTTACCTCCGAGTCCATTACGTCTGACCGCGTGTGGGCAAGGTTCATCTTTGCGTGTAAGCGAGAAATCGAACCGGAGGTGCGATGGAAGGTCCATCTGCCATCTAGCCAACTCAACATCCAGAATCCTTCGAGCAGAATCAGCGCGCCACACCCACGCGGGTTGCGGGGCACCATTGGTAGAAGTAGGCGTCTTGGGCGAATAAGGCGGGTAAGGTGATTGGCCTGTTGGGTTGCTGTTGTTGTTGATCGGGAATCCGTATTGGGGTGCAGGCGACATACTCGCCATCGAGGGAATTGAAGGTGTCTGGTTCTCAGGAGCACGGTACAAGTTCGATCCCTCGCGGTATCCATCCTCCGAATTATGGGAAGTCTGTCCACACCGCCTGATCTTCTTGACAATCTTCCACAGCTTGGCCTGCTCCAGCAAGAACCCAATCCTGTTAGTCTCACCCTCAAACTCCAGCTCACCCATATCATCACCCAACTCCAGAGACGGCACCTTGGGCAGTCCAATAGAAATATAATCGTCCGAGAACCTTTCCGGGGAGCCAGAGTTCAAACTGTAGGAGGCATCGATGACATAACAGCACCAAAAGATGTTTCGGCGAAGTTGGGTCACGGACCGACACAGTGTCCAGGGCTCACAATCTCGGTGAAGGCCGAGAGCAAGGGCCATGGCGCAGGCTTGTTCGCGGTACAGGTTCTGAATCCCAGGGATCGTTGGGCATTTCATGAGTAGGAGCAATCCTTGAAGACTTGAGACCCTTGGTTGATGCAGAATATATGCCGTCAAAGCTATTATAGTGAACGATGAAAAAAGAAAACATCAGTAAAACGTAAGGTATAAAGCTCATCAGAAACTAAAGACAGATATACTTGAAGAAAAAAATTACCTTGGCTACGGTCAAAATACGTCTGAAAGTTGTGCTCAGGCAACTCTTGGATATTGTTGTTATTAAGAAGGTGATGCTTCTTCTTCCCCTTGATAGCATTCGACCGATATGCAGCTCCGAGAGCCATGATGGCATTCAGCAAGAAGATGGCGCTAACGCGGCCAGTGATGCGCTGGGGCAATGCACCGCTGTCGGTGACCAAAGGGTTGGCAGGGGGCTTCTCGATTCCAAGAGAGGGAGCGTCAGGACCAGGGATGGCGGCAGAAAGAGCGTTCATGATACTGGCTTTGGTGAGGATTGGAAAGTAGACGTAGAGTGGGCTCTGAATCATCCACTCAATCAGCTCCAGCATTAACTCGACCGGTGGCAGAGCCAAGAGAGAGTCCTTCACTTGGGGCTCAGGAACGAGCCAAGGGAGAGGAAAACGCATTTCTTCGCTCCATGACGACGCTTTGGTACCGGCGACGGGACCCAAGTACTCTGTACAGTCGTACACCGAGAGTTCAAACATGGTCTTGTTCAAAACCGACAGCGGGACGCGTGTAGGGAATGGTGTTAGTCGGGTTGCTGGGCATGTGAAATTTCCATCGTCTGTCAATGTCGCCTGAAGGGCCGTTTCAGCCTGTGGAGGTGTTGAGCCCTAAATGATGAACGACATTTCAATTGCATTGTTAGCCACGAGTACAAGAAACCAGCTGTGAGAAACAAGATGAAGAACTAAGTAGGAAAGTCATATACCTTTGAATACAAGTGAGCAGTAGGGGGCACTTGCTGAATACCCTTTGTAGCCTGCAAAAGTGGCAAAAGTTGCTTGATCCAAGACAAAGAGGCACGGTGTCCAAGCTTGTCAACAACCTAAGCACATAGTGGACATAGAAAATAATAGGTTAGCAATGACTGGTAGGAAAAATACATACATCTGTCAGGGGATGAGAATAGATGACATTGTATTACCTCTTCGGGGCTATAGTTGAGATCGGGATGAGTACCATGGGTAGACTCGTGCTGTATCTTGATCTGCTCAGAAAGCCAGCCGACCTCCTCCAAACGATTCTCTTCAATACCAACACGGTCAAAAAATTGTTCAATCCGACGCAAACGGTTCATCTGGAGAGACTGGACATCTCTGAGGCACGAGTCGAGGATTTCTGTCTCGGAGAAGTGTCTGTCCCGCTTGCCCGCGCTGGTCAAGATGCGAAGACCGGGGGTGCCAATGGCATCGACAGACACGGTTGAGAGGGGTACTCCGGCAGGGAGGGCTGTTCTCAGACAGGGAGCTTTGTATTTGACACATGAGGAGCAGACTGGCTCTAGTCTGTCACACTTGATCTATTTTCAGTCGCGAGTTCAAAATCAAAATCAAAACAAATACAATTGGGCGTGCATGCATGCATGAGTGAGTGAATGGACTGTATTGTGTCGTTTGTATTATATGCGCGGTGGCTGTTCCCTCGTCTGAGAGTGTTGCGTAGGCTAAAATGACGCGTCATTGTTCATGCACAGACAGTTAGACTGACAGACACACGGCGGATGATTGCTCAGCATTCTCGTGACTGTCAAACCGCTTTTTTTTCTCTTCCTTTTGACGCGTGTTCGCGCCTGACTGGTGAAAACAAAAAACGAATACAAAGTGTTGCAAAGGGAGGAAGAAATAGGAAAGGGTGCTCAAAGGAGAACAAGAAAAAAAATAACAAAAGGTCGCGTTTAACCATGCCTTGGTATGGCCAAAGGCGTATTAATAATATTCATACATGTCAGACCTTGTGCAACCATGCACCACCATCCTCTTAGATCCTGTACTCATTCCGAGAATGGTCCAGATCGTTCTTTTTGTTGTAATCCTGGCCTCAGAGAGAACGGGAGGCAGAGGAACTTTTTAGTGTCACTGTTGATCTTCCGTGTCGCTTCTTCCCACCACTGCACTACTCAAGGATCAAGGTTTTGAGCCTATGAGCATTGGCGTAAAAAAATGGTAAAAAAAGGAAAGCATGTGTGATGGTCGGGGGCGGAGGCAGGGGCATTGGGGGAGAGTGATAGAATGGGTAGGGAGGGAAAGAAGGAATGGGAGAGGCGAATGGGAGGACACAAAAGATCGAGAAGAGGGCTCTCGAGTTTGAATGATAGAAAATACAATAAGCAGCAAAGTGTCAAAGGGAAAAAAATGGAGTTGAAAAAAGGAGAAAAAGAGAAACGAAGGGGGAAACAGGATTTTTTGAAGTAGAATCCTCATTGGCTAATTTCCAGTGTTTTGGCTCGGGTAACTCTTCCCCCATTCCTCTCTTTGCTCCTTCTGACCACCTCTTTTTATTCCTTTTTTATTGTTGTTGCTGTTACTGCTTATCGATTGTTGTCGTCCATCATCTGTCCTTGTCGGTTGTTAGCCTGCATTCCTTGAACGCGAGACCGTAATTCAATCAATAATGAAGAGGAACAAAGACAGAAAACTGAGTTTTGCTTACCCTTCTCTGTCGACAACGATCACAGGGAGGCGTCGTCTTTTGTTTCTTGGCTCCTGAGAAAGTGTTATTATTGTTGGTGGCAACGCCGGGATCAATGGTGGCAGTGGAGGGTGGCGCAGTTTTCATGATGGGATCCTGATAAGATGCGGTGTTTGATGGGTGATTGACCTGGTGGAACTGAAATGGGTTTTGTGGTGGAATAGCCATTGGTTATGTTATAGTTGCAGGAGTAAGATTAAGAGAGTGTATGCGGTGGCTGTGGTGGTGGTGGTGAAAAGAGTGGAATGGAGTGGAATGGAGTGGTTGATGGATCGAAAAGGTTGATTGTATTGCGCCTGCTCTGAATAGAAGAGGTCCGGTTGAATAGATATCTGCCTGTTGAAAGCGATGGTTGCTAAGAGTCCTGGACTCTGAAGAGCCGGAAGGAAAGAGCATTGGAGAGAAGATGTGAGAAAAAGAAGGATGAGCAAGCAATTGCCCTTGGTTAGAGGAGGAAGCTGATGACAAAGATATAAAAACGTGCCGAACTAGCACTGAGCAGAAGAGAAAAAAGATAAAACAAAGTCGATTTCATTCGAAGCAACGTGGGAGAATGGGACAATAAAAGGCTTCTTTACCAAGAGATAACTGCTTTTCGAGTGTTCACCTTGTCAGTTAGAGATTGTGAATCTCTTCATGGCAGGAATGAGTAGAAAAGTAGGTCGAATGAGACAAGAGGCAAAGTAGGAGAATAACGAATACGTGAATAAACGTGATTGAGAGTTGAGTGAGAAATAAGATAATAAAATGGGTGCTGTGGTCGGTGCGTGGCAAACACGCCTGAGAGGGGAGTGTCCCGATGGACTCGATGGAATGGCGGTGAAATGAGAGTGACTGGAATGTCAATGAGAGTGAGAGAGTGAATGGGTTAGGGTAAGGTGGCGTGTGTGTGTGTGTTTGTTGTTGGTCAGAGAGAACACCGGAGCATTCGTTGGAGAATGAACTAAGGGAGACGGGAGAGGATATCAGTAGGGCAAAGAGCGAGATGTGGTGGGCAAGAGCAGGAGGAGCGGAGAAATAGGGAAATTGTGGTTCGAAGGGGACAAGCCAATGCGACTTTGTGGATGAATGGAGAGGAAGAGGAAGAAGGGAAGGAGAGAAGTGTCAAAGAAAGAAGAGAATAGAAGAAGAGAAGAAGAGAAGAAGAGAAGAAGAGAAAAAGAAAAGAGAAAAGAGAGCACAAACTAATAAAAGTAACAACGACGACCGAAGTACACAAGCAAGAAAATGATGAAGGTAACCAAAAGGAAAATAAAGAGACGAGGAGAGAAAAGAAGGGCGGCAATGGACCCTGTTGGATGGGGACGGGAGTTGAAGTATCCAATGGCAATCCAATGCACAATCCAATTGGGCACACGCTCTCACTCTCTTAGCTACAATGATACTGTAATAAACAAAGGGTGTGCTCTTTGGCCCCGAGAGTCGAAAAAAGGAGAAAAAGGAAAAAAGAGAACGAAATAGATTCTCCTTTCTCCCTTTCTCTCTTGTTGATGCGATTGATAGGCAAAAAAATAACAATGCGAACCCAACTCGCCCTGCTGCAAGTAAACAAAATAAACAACAGAAATGAATGTTGAGCAATAATGGGGGACAGGGAAGGCAAGGGAACGGAAGGGAAGGGATGAGAGCAACTCACGAACACGGCCGTGGAGATTAAGAAAGAAAAAAAAGTGGATAATAATAATATGTAGGACGATTGATTTGTAGTTCGTTGTTGTTGTTTTTGCTTGTTGTCGTTCGTTGTTTGGTGGATGTTGTTGATATTGTAGTCGCGAGGAGAATTGCTGATGTGCTTGGTTGTAGCGTGGTTTAGCCTGGTCGTGCAAAAGAAAAACGAAAATACGAGGGAATCCTTTGATACTCTCGACAGGGTGGGTGGTGCAGACGTACTGGTGCATTATTCTCCATCAACAAAAACACATGGAATATATAGACGTTCACAGCAAAACTGCCTTCACTGCTCTACTGCTCCTACAAAGTAGCAGTAAGCACACCCCTCTGTAGGTTTGGCTGTTGGATGTTGTTATGTAACGTTAATTCTTGTTACAAAGCCAAAAAGGAAGAAGAATAAAGTCGACGTAAAAGCAGTAGCGGCCACTGCTCATCATTGCTTGGCATTTCCAACTTCTTCCTCGGACAAACAAAAACGGGAGAGAGGAATGAAGGAGCAACAGCATTACAAGTAACAGCCCTCTTTTTTTTTCTGATCTCTGAAAAGGGGCTGTTCTGTTTAAAACGAAGGATGCATCCATTCAAATGCCAGGGCTTTTTTAACACACACATTCACAATTGGTTATTTTACATGTCTCACGTTCGACATTTGGCCGAAGAAATCGGATCAAATGCTACCTCTTGACAACACAGGCACCATCTCTCATAGCATTGAAGGGGCGACCCGAAAGTCGAGAGCAATAGAGAGAAAGGAAGGGGGAAAGTTGACACCCAACAACATGACAGACAAAGTATACTCGTTCCATCTTGCTTTCTAAACCTTGACTATCCCTTTGCGCGCGTGTGTGTGTGTGTGTGTGCTCTTCAAGCAGCAACGTTTTTTGTTGGTCTTCTTCAATGAGGGTACCTGTTGTTTGTTGCTCACTCAATTAACTCCTCCTCTCTTCTTGTATTTTATGCTTACGCTCTGGCTGCCCCTCCCTGGCTGAACCGCAACAAGGCGAAAAAGAAGGACAGAAAATCTTAACGTCGAATAGAATCAAAACGAAAGTAACAACAACCCAGCAATTGAATGATCAACTGCCGAAACCCAAAAAAAAAAAAAAAAAAAAAGGTGCTCTCACTCTATCTGACTCTGACTGTTCCTTCCTTCTTACTCCCTGAAAACTAAAAAATAAAATACACTTTGCACATCAACCACCGCACTAAGAAGTATAAAAATAACATAGTACATTCAATTCCATTCAATGGTCGCTCTACCTCATACTCTATTATGTTTTTTATTTAGCCAATGTAAATTGAAAAAGTGATCATCCGTTGACCCTCTGTAAACTCAAAATCAAACAAGCATTTTCCTTCCATCCGTCATTTCATCACTTCTCGCGTTTCAATCACATAACACTTTTTAGTCTCCTGAAAATGAAAACGTCCAACCGTCCATCTCTCACCCACCATACATCCAATATGCACTCACTCGTAAATCACACACACTGTCTTCGCACTTTGTCAAATCGATTTGTATTTGTCAGAGAGTTCGTCAACCGACCCTGTCCCTCATTACAACAATCGAAAGAGTTGCGCAGCTCTTCTTTTTTTTCTTTTTTTTCTTTTTTTTGGTCCCCATTTCGTGGCTATTGCCTTGCATCGCAATTTGTTGTTTCGATCTTTGCTTGGCTGTCGACAATGATGGTTTAGCTTCAATTCTCTTATTTCCTTTTTCTACTCACTCCAGCCTCTTGGCAACTTGATAACATTTTGCAGGTTCTCTGCAATTATTCCGTCACCAAAAAAAAAGAAAAGAAACTCTGTTTCCCCAATCCCCTGTATTCTTAAAGTTGAAAGATGACAAAGCAAAGCAAATGAACAAGAAAAGAAACCATGAAAAATGTATAGAGAGGAAGAACAGTAACCAAAAAAAAACGGCATGTACGCAAGAACGAAGTCTGTACGCATGAGAATGCATAGCGCAGAAGGAAATTAAGAGATGAAGAAAGAGATAAAGAAAGGAAAGGAAAGGAAAGGGGCGCAATGGAAGGAGGGAAGGGTGCAAAAGTGGCGAAGTAGGGAAAGGAGGGGCTGAAAGTGTTCTCCGTAACAAGGGTTCAGAGGGGAAAAAAGTGTGTGTTAGGAATGGATTGTTTTAGAGGGTAGAAACTCACCTTTTTTAGGGTCGTCAATGCAAAAGGAGAGAGCGGGCTCGGTTTGATTTTCTTGTTTGTTGGTTTGGAGGGCAAATAAAGGTTAATCAGAAGAAAGAGAGCAGTGCAAGGAAGACGAGGAAGCGAAGGAGAAAGATGACGATGGATAAGAGAGAAAGTGAGAGCGAAGGTGATGGAGGGAGGGGAGGGGAGAGAGAACTTTGTTGTTGAGGAAGGAAGGGTGTTTGTGCGATGAAGGTATGGATCAAAAGAAGAATGAACACTTCAAGCGTGTGTGTGTGATTCTTTGTGCTATTTACAATAGACAAGTGGTGTCAATTGGAGACAAGGAAGAAAAGAAGAAGGAAAAGAAAAGGGGAAATAATGAATTTGATGTGAGGTATTTATTTGTCTCTCTGACCAGGACCATATTGGTACACAAATTTAATGTCAATGCAAGGTTGACGACAGAGTGGACAACAATTGAAAAAGAGAAATAATAATAATGTCATGTAGATTGTAAGAGCCAAGGACGATCGAAGACAAAACAGAGGCAAAAAGAGAAAGGAGAAAGATGAAGGCAAAAAGGAAGCGCAGCGATAGGCTGCTTCTGCCTCCACTCAAGCAAGAATTGCTATCCTTTTCAGGAGTGACTCGTCCGGAATATTTCCTGTGTGTTGGCTAGTATGTTATTTCTTTGTTGACAAAAGACAGCTTGTTTGTTTGTTTATGCATGCAAGAAAAACGGAGCCAATGCATGTTCCACCGAATTGTCGACTCTGGCTCTGCTGCGGCCTGACAGGAGCAGACCGATTAATAAACCCTAAATTGCCACGTCCAACCATCCATCGATCGACATGTTTGTTCACACTTTTCACTGCCACTAGTTCGCGAACTGAGCTGATCCCTGTTTTCCTTTTTCTCTCCTTTTTTCTCCTACTCCGTTCGTGCTCTCCAGGGTGGCAACCACAAGAGCAGTCGAAAAAAGTCGAAATTATGTATGCGTCCCTGAGCGGAGCTCCCTTGCTCCATCCCGCACATGTTATACTTGCATTTTTCTTCGTATGCGTCAAACATTTGTCGGGTGGGTCGATGATGGCCACGACCACCAACCAGTTGCTGTCTCCATGGGTGGATTGGGTAGGCGGGGTATTTACAATCAACAACACAACAAACAACAATGCAAAATGTGAGCTCAACATTCGAGGAAAGAAATCTATTTTTTTCCCTCGGGATTTACCAAGCGCTAAGCACACAGCGTAAACGAATCGATCTCCTTGACCTTTTCTCACCATCTTACACTTGCTCCTATATCCATTTACGCGCACTACACACACACTATATCCTCTCCCTTCTCTA